AATGGGCTTTGAGCAATACTGCCAGAATACAAATCCCGTTTCTTGTGTTCCCTGTAGCCACAACTGTTATCCGCTTTGGTGCAGCGTGCTCCCGTGAGGTGGGTTAATTAAACTCTTTGGGACAAAATAGGGGAAAGTTGCATCGACTTTGGCCAGTGTGAGGGGTCTTGTGAAATCAGCTTTACCTTCCACTGCTCCATCACAAGACGCTACTGAAGTGCCTGCCAAGAAATACAGCTCTGAGCAAAAGAGTTTAGGCTCAAGTATGCTGTTAACGGAGGCCGAGTATGCTTTCTAATGGTCATTTGTAGCTGTATGATTCAATAATAAAGGATTTTTGTTTGTAATGGATTCTATATCACTTATGAAACTGTTTCAAAAGAGCACTTGATTGTTTTGGCAAATTCTGTACCAGATGTGTGTATAGCCCAAGAGGTTCATTCAGCTTTTGGGGGGTCAGCTTTATCATCCCACAGTCTCTATGTCCCCACATTTGTTGGGTTTTAAGGTTCTGGTTAAGGTTAGGGCCTGGTTTTGACATTCTGGTCAAGGTTTGGGCCAGGGTGACAGCTGGGTTATGGATTTACTTTCAAAAATGTCTTTTAAATGTGAGAAAACAGGGCTGTGGGAACATAGAGCAGTGAAAACTTAGGTGCCTTCCTAGATACATCAAGTTAAATATAAAAAAGGTAGTTTTTCTTCAGCCATCTACCAATGCATTTCTATAAAAAGTGCCTTGCCCAACAACAAAATCACAGTGGATACCATGGTTCAGAAACTGGGGTGTAGCATGAACTATTGGAGTTAGGTACAACCGTTTTGGTGGGCCCTCCCTATATATTCTCCATATGAAAAACGCAGTTACACAGACTTTATGAGGAGCCCCTTCCTGCAATGGGCCCTGGGTAAACACGGTCTGATTTCTCCCAGTCCAACGCCCTTGCACAGAGGTGTTTTTGTGCCTCTACTGATTTTATTGTACCCAAGGCCTTTTGTTCAGTTCTGCAAGAGTATAAGAAATCCCCTCATCAATTTTCTAAAGATGTTGGTTGAAAGATAAGCCTGGTGATGCTGAGATTGTTAGCCACCTGCTCTGGGCTAGACGTGAGGGAGTGAGGGGTAAGTTTGGGGTTAGTCCTGTCAGCAGATCCTCCGTTACAGCGGGCCAAAAGAGAGGGGCTGTAGATACAAAGAAGGCCCGAACTGCACTGATGACAACATGGCCGACTGGAAGAGGCACGGTCACACTACCAGTATTTTTATAGCAAAAAGCGTGAAATGTTGTAAAAATGTGACTTCGACATTTTTCTTATGGGAGTTGTATAGTGAGATGCTCCCACAGTGGATTTTTGTCCTTATAAAAAGTAAAGGATGCCCACTTCCGAGTACCCTTAGGCGCGCCATTTGTGTCTCTGGGGATAGGGGCCCCGTAATTTATTATGCGTTCCCCTCATGTTAAGGAAATACTTTCTCAATAGCTCCCTCTCCTTTGTATATTTGTACTGTTCTTATTTTGTTCCTTGATTCGACCCTGCACTCTCTTGTTTATTTGCTTTCTAAACAGGGGACCGGTTGGACATGTCGACGCTGCCTTGAAGAGACTGTAATAAATGACTTATGTCCTGGTAGAAGACAGTGTTTATTTGTGTGAGTGAACCTGGAGGGGTAAAGGTATTTTAGAGGGACCTATAGAAGTAACAGCTGATCAGGCTTAGCATTACCTCAGGCTTAATCTGATTTCACTGGTTGGAACTGGAGCAGTGTGGGTATCTTCAATAAATCCTATAGTACACTGGTGGTCCATCTCTGTGTGAAGTCATGGGATGGATAGTCAGTGCAGAGATAAAAGATTATTCAAAATGTATACAGTATTTGATTTATAAATTGTACTACTCAAATAAATGTTTACAATTTTGCAACTTACACTGGTTCAGTCTGTTATTCTCTCCATTTATCCAGATTTGGGACCATCATTAATTTTTGTTATTATATTATGATGTGTGAGCTACTGTGTCCAAATAATTTCCCTTGTGCATCAAAAAATCACTGATACTACTACTGTAATAATGACTTGATCAGTTATTTGATTCAGATAGAACTAGAGTTACTTGTACTTCTGTCACTACAAATACAATTGAACTAACTAAATATCACTTACTTCACTGTCAGTGATTAAGCGGCAATCTACAAGTGATATAAACATACTCAATCTCAATTTCTATCACAGAGGGACTCAATGTTATTCCCACCATCTTAAAACAAAATGTATGTATAAAGGTGGCGTTGAAACCTACAAAAAACAACCAACCGAAACCAACAAAATGTAAATTACGTGTCTAGTTACTCTTTTCTGGTTTTGGTCAACACTAACCCCCTATCGTCACGTGCTGATGAGCCAACCTTTCATTTATTTTCAGCTCTGACTTGTGTTTGTTGGTGTTAGGCAGACTAGCGCCTTCACCCTCCCCCTCCCCTCTGTCCAATCTAAAACAACATGAAAGAAAAGAAGAGGAAATAAAAAAGTGCAAGCTATTCTCCGATCAGTGGTCCATGACTCAGCTTTTGAAAGTAGACCCTCAAAATCAAACTGTGGGTGTTGAAGGGCCAGAGCTGCTCTGGTCAAGCCCGGGGCCACCCTATGTCACAGGCCAGCTCATAGGTTAATGTGCATTTTACTCAGTTGTCATGGGCTCTAGATGGGGGCACAGGGGCACGAGGGTCCACACTTTATCAGGCTCAGAGAAACACTCCATTGTCGCATAAGAAAACTACTCTTCAAAGGTCCTATATTACACAAAACTGACTCTTGTGAGCTTTAAAGGTGCACTATGTACCTTTTCAGTTGGGGACGAGTCATCTTGTTTCTATGGAATTCTCATTGCTCTGTGCGGCTGTGTGTTTCACAGTGTGACATTAAACAGCTCTATCTTACATTTATTCCAGTCCACCAGAAAAGTTACACAATGCACCTTAAAGTCATGTTAGAATGTTGTTACCTCCCCCAAAAACAGATCTGGAGTTGTGCTTTGTTTCATTCACACATGCCTGAGTAATTCTGCATTATTATTTTGTCTGCATCTCAAAATGCTCTTTTCCGCCTTGTGATACCATGTGTTAGAAGAGTGGTAGTAGAAAGTAATAGTTTTCCTTGTTTAAAGCTACCTTATATGTTGTCGAGAGATCGATAAGGGCTGAAAAGATCCAAATTATCCTAGTGAAGGTGTATGGAGTTTAAAAACACAGTGGAGCATGTCCTGTATTACCACAGGACAACACAAGGTGGAACAGAGTTGAGATTATAAGAGAAGATTTCAGAAGAACTCAGTCTAAATATGCAGGGTATTGTGTGTTAAACATGTGTGAATGAAACAAAACAAAACTCTAGTTATGGTAGGTATGATGAGGAGACAGCATTATAACAGATTAGAAAATAGAGCAAAATGTGCCCTTTAAAGCTTTAACCCACATGTGAGTTATTATGTTTATAGACATATGTTCACTATTTGCATAATGACTTATAAAGGGATCATAGACGATTAAAATAGTGCTGTAATTGTTTTGGCTGGAGAGAAAAGTGAATTTTAAATAGGTTATTTACATTGTTGGTGAATTTGCGATTATTGGCTACAAAAGCTACGCATGGAAAATGACTCAAGTGTTTTCAGAACAATGTAATGATGGAGCACAGATTTAAACACATAAAACTAAATATAGCAAACAGCTGATTTTTATGAGAACAAATAAGGTAGAAATTGGAGAACAGACTAAAACTTTTATTGAATGATAAACATATTCATGTTTTTTTTGTTATATGGCGCCAGTTTGAGGACGGTTGGCCTTTAAAAAGATATGTTTTGTTAATTGTTAATTGCTATGGCAACAGTCCTAACTTTACATCATTGTGGACCCATGTATTGGAAAAACACAAATTGGAAAACTGTTATATCATTATGTTACTTAGACAATCCATACATCAACACTAGAGATAGTTGTGACAAAAGATCATGTCAAGTGTTGTCCAGAAGAAAAAGTAATTATTAAATGAATTGTTAAAGCTGTGAAGTAATAAAGTCAATACACATATAATTGAAAATAATAAAAACATTCCATGATGCTATTCATAACTGTAGGTTTCCCCATTCACTGGCCATGTTCCTATTTTTGCAGATGTGTTATGTATGAAAATAATTATAATTTCATTACACACAATCCTTCGTCTTCCCATTGGGTAATATTTTAATGTTTACTTCATTTATCTTGGAGATGTCCCATGTTGTTTTCCACCTACATATGTGCAAATGTTGTTGACCACAGTCTAGTCCAGTGTGTGTCCAGCAGGACTGACTGAATGAGAACACAGTGTTTTGAAGCCAGGGCACTTGGACGTTGTTTCTGTGCAGTCTTTATTAAGGAGAGCTGCCTCAGACTCATTGGCTTCCCCCTGCATTGGTCATGCTCCACGTCGGGACAATTACAGCTCCAGCACAGCCCCTCCTCACACTGGGACCACTTATATGAACCAGGCCAACTTCTCATCACCACTAGTTCACAGGGTGTATCTAATCTTATCTGAATTGCTATTAGCGGCATATTTCATCTTTATGGCACAGCCTTGAGGACTTTGAGGAGGGATAATCGATGGGAAAGTACAAAACAGAGAAAAGTGACTGAAACCATTCTTATTAATATATTGTTTACATTGTTTTATGAGAGTGATGTATACCAGCTGTTATCAAACTGTGTGTAATGTTTGTGTTGAGGATTGATCTTGGTTTAGGCACATTTTAATCTAATTTCAAATCCAGTTTAGTCCATGTGCTTTAGACTTAGATTAGTTCTGATTGACAACAGAGTTCGACTTTGCTGAATGCCAGGAATGGTTGCATAAATCAGTATTAGTTTTTTTAGTGGTGAGGTGTGGTTCGATCAAATATTTTAATAATCACAAATTATAACATTTAAAAGTATCAATCAAGCTTTATTACATATGGACTGAAAACTACCACAGACTAACTTGAGCCAAATAAGACATGTCCTTAAATCGCAAATAAGCAAAACATTTCAATATAATATAGAATCAAGTGCTCTTATAATGACCAAAACTTCTGGAGAAAGAAAGGCGGAGCACAACAGAAAATTCCAGGTGTACATTCAGGAAAATGAGCTCTATGAACCATTTACAAAACAAACACTTGGAGGCAACTTGAATTTATGACTGTATTTGTAAAACAAACTGCTGTTAGGGCAAAGAGAGAGCTGTTAGTATGTTGGTTAACACTGGAGAGGGCAAGGGTTAAGAGTAGTAATCAGGCCCTGTTTGACTGATGGATCAGGCCCTGTTGTAGCCACGGTGACGCTTGGAGCCACAGAGCTTTGCCTTAATTCTTATCTGCTCAGTATGTCGCAGTGTGTGACCCCTTGAAAAAAAACTGGACAAAACTTATTATGAGCCATATCAGTGGGCCTATGTAGATAAAGGCACTTGAAGAACATATCACTAGCAGGAGTTTGATGGACACACAGTCACGGCACCACACTATAACAGACCTAGACAGATACATCTCCCCCAGAGATTAGGGGTCATCTGCTGTGGCCCTGTGATCAATGACCCGTCTTAGGTTACCAGACATGCTAATCTGTCATGCTTTTACCTTAAACTGTTACTTTATTAACTGCACTGTTACCCTAATGTTTATGAAGGTGTGTTTTTATGTTACTTTTTTCTTGATGTTTTGTGGGATGTGGTATTGAAGTCTCAGTCTACAAAGCTTGCACTGCTCCTCAGCACTGCTCCTCAGCACAGCTCACAGGATACACAATCTCTGCTCCTCTTCCTCCACCAGACTCCTGTGCAAAGGCAAGAGGGAAATCGCGTAAGTTCTAGATCAAATGGTAATAGTCATTTATGTTTTCAAATTGTGTAATTGCAGATTGCATTGTAACCAATATGGCAATATTCAAAGACTGAACAGAAGGTCTGAAAGCAAGTACTGACTGTATCGACATAAAAACAAATTATGCAAATATGGTTGATCAGCCATTACAAATACATAGTATACTTTAGCAAATTTAACTTAATTTACATCTGGGTGTTCCTGCTTATTCAGAGATCTGTGTTCTTAATAAAGAGTTTATTATTTAAGTTTACTTTTTAACTGCTATCTTAATAAAATACATTAAGTACATAAAACCCAACTGTTATCAGTAAGACTGTGGGTACAGCACAGCTCCATTCTGTCAGGTGTAAATAGGCGAGTGATATGACAGGCTTACATTAGCCATGAGCATCAGCCCAGACGCTGTGAGATGCTTTCACAGGCCATAAAACCCCTGCTAATGGCAGCCAGGGTCATTAAGGCTATATCGTGCAGACACTTGAGTAAAAATAAATGAGGGACATTTTCATTTCTTATTCATGCTATTAATCACGGATGAGAAAACCTAGAGTAAATAAAGAGAAGGACACATTGACCAGGTGCTTGTCTGTGTCTGTTGTGGTGCATCTAAACACTGAATATGTGAGTGTTTGCAGAGGCTGCAGTAGACTGGTTCTGGCTCTAGTCCAGCTCAGTCCAGACAGTGTGAAGTCCTGTTTGTGCATCCTAATGAGACTATAGAGGCCCAGACCTGAGAGGCCCAGGGGTCACACTTTGGGACCATGGGACAATAGCAGAAGGCCTCTAGCTGCAAGTTGACGTGAGTCACTCCACATAACACAAAGGCAGATGGTTAAGAGACCTCATGTGGCACGAGTCGTCTTCAAGGTCAAATACAGGAAACTGTCTCATATTCAGAAGTCACTTCCTGTGACCCTGTGATGTCAGCCTTTTGTTTGCTCAAATATCTTTAGTGTAGAGCTGGCGGATGTCCAGATAGAGCAGACAATATTAGATACACAAAAGGAAATTGTTTTCACACAAGTCAGTGTTGGGACCATAGACAATGATGCTCTTAGTGCTCTTATCTACTCACAAGTATCAAGAATATCTCCTGTAAACATATGATGTAATAAAGTCATCCCATGTCACAATGTGTATATGCATGTGTGGCACTTCCTTAAACAATCTACTGTCCCTCTTTTCATTCGACCCTGAACAAAAGACTCAAATCAAGTACAACAGATTTTTATAGGCTTCCATTTACTTTCAAAGCTGCGGGTGGGGGTGACAGGTCAGTTTTGATTACTACTCATAATCATGGAGTGTTTTTATTGGAGCGAAAGTTGAGTTCTGGTCAGGCTGCTGAGTGACACTCCCACTAACAATTAATTAAACGAAAGAGTTACAATCCTCCCATAGAATACAGTCAGTATGGTAATATTTCATGGGTCATGGCTAATAATGACAACCTGCAAGGATATTTTAAAGAAGGATATTGGAGAGAAGTTTACCCATTTTAAAGTAAATGCAGTCAATTACCTCAAATAGCATTTTTTTCTGTTAGTTTATTTAGATATAATTTAAAATAATGGCTATTTTCCTATTTGAGAACAGAAACTTGTCTTGAAATTCAAACTCAAACTGTATTTTTATTTTTATTTTTTGCTAAAAGACCAACATCCCAACAGTCACACGTCAACAGACACATCCCAACATGTAGTTATAATTCTTTGTTCTTTTGCTACACAGGCTTACCTGAGTGTTAGCCTTATTCAGTGTAATGCAATGTGGTGGACTGTAGCACAGATTTTGTCTCACCTGTAGGCACAAATCTCCATGTCTCGGGCCATCTTCTCCCTCAGCAACTCCCTGTAGTCCTCACACTGCTCCTTCATCTGAAACTGCAGGTCTGCCTCCTGGTGCTTCATCTCATCTATAGTGCACTGAACATGGCCACACAGCGCACACACAGAGCACAGGCACAATAGGAGATTAAATGACAGAATCAGTAGAAGGCAGTGGTCCATTACATCCTATGATTACTACAATCAGTCCCATCTCACCTCCAGCTCGGCAATCTCCTCGGCGTACGAGGTCTTGTTTATGTCAAACTGCTCCTCCAGTTCCTCATTGTACTTCTCCAGTTCTTCAAGCTTCTTTTGCATCTCTGAGACCTTTAAGACAACAAGCTAATATTAAGTTCAGTACAATAACATGGGTTAAGTGAACAAAATTAACAGAACTATTTTTCCCACTGTTAAACTGTCCTGTGATGAATAATTTAACAATGATCATTTAGCCGTGAGAGCCAGATGGGGATCTATACATCTGTGCTCATCTTTCTGTGAGCTCATGTGATCCTCTGTTTTCACAACCCGACCAAGACTTCAATTAGAACTGCTCTGGGAGCTTGGTGTTCTATACTGGATACTATGGACCTTAAGTTCATACTTGTATTGTGCCTTCATTAAAGTCGCTAAAGTCACCTCTGCAAGGGTCAGTAAATCAGTTTTGTATGCCATAGGTGAACTATGTGTAATATGCTGGATGTTGCAGCAGTAAAATTATTTACTGCTGGAACAGTAAATATTATTTCAAACTCATTTGAAAAGTCAGTGGATGAATTATGCAAGTTTTATGCACTGTTGAATTCAATAGCAATAAATTCTGTCCAGTGCACATATAGTAATCTATAAAAGGCAATAAAGTATATATTGCTATTGTATACTCTAATATATGTGCATATACATAAATGCCAGGCCTAATTTTACTGCAGTCTGTTTGTTTGGCCATGTTGTGTCTCTGAGAGAAACTAGTCCCGGGGCGTCCATCAGGCAGGAGAGGGAGGAAACAGAGCGCATCGAGCCGAGCTGTCCATTGGCGCAGGAGTTGGAAGAGAAGTAGATGATGTGTGGACTGCGCTGTGGTTGCTGATGTTTATTTAAATAGCTGAATGTGGGGCTGGAAGTGCAGTAATGAGAACCAAACCCTCCTGTTTGTAACATGTGGTCAGGTGACAGCTGCGGCCTGACCACGAATGCACAAGGTTAGTTGCTTTTTTTCACCAAATGGTGCCCGGGGAGGTTAGCTGTCACATACTGCTGTAACTCCTGACGACTAACTTTAAAAAGGCTATTTATATATTTACACTTATAAGACTTGATGAGGGTTTATTTCTCCAGTCTGCGTCATGTGCAGTTTTGAAGGTTGTAAAATGCTGGAGGCAGTGTGTAGGGCTGTACTTAATAACTGCGGACAGGGAAGGCAATAAATCCAGTCTGAGCCTCTCACATCTCCGGCTGAAAGTGTCTGCAGAGTAAACACACTGGTCAGCGGGATCTTCCATTCTGTTTCTCCACTGTCACTCACTGCTCTCCGCTCCCTCATTCTTCTATGGGAATCCATTCATTTTCACCATTAAGGCCTGATTTAGGGGCTGATGTCTGACGCAGAGCCATTTGCGGGTGGAAAGACTCCTCTTGTCTTGGTAAGTAGTGAGGTGGGATAAGTGTTATGGGAAGATCTAAATCAGCTAGTAGTACGATTTACAGTACATAAAGTATACACATGATGGTCCATTGAAACTCAAGTATTTTCTTCTTGGTTTGTGTTCTATACAGTAAAAACTGAATAATGTATGGTAGAATGAGTGTAGACGTAAAGGATGTCTTAATGGCTGTATTCACTCATGAGTACACCAAAAAGCAGCTAAAATATTAACAATAATGAAGTGTGCATTAGATTTCACTATAAACGTATAAACTAGAAAGCTGAAAATGTTCTAACCAACGTGTGTTGAGTTAGATGGCCCTTACACAGTTTCTGTAATAATGTCACAACTTATCTGCTGAAGCCAGTCTAAAGGGTTCAAACATGAACCCCATTATAAAAAGGTTCAAACTTTCTTTTATTCCTGTGCTGTGAAATGCCCGGAAGAACAGACGTGTTATTTCAAATTGTGTGTTGACCTTTTGAGATGGGGAGAGAGAGACGAAAGCCCACTCACCAGCGCCTTCATTTCACCGATATCCTTTATCTGAGGCGGGCTTTTGACCTTTGACCCCACAGCTTCTCCAGCTTCCAGTAGCTTTCCATCATCACTGCGGACGAGGGCAGAGGAAGAAACTCCACATTCATACTGCAAAGAAAAAAAGTGAGAATGGTGGAAATAGTTTTTGAATTCTCTATATAATCTTCAGGAAAAACAGAACAGACAGCAGATGTCCGTTATTACAAGTGCAAGAGGAACTAAGGGCTTTAAGATGACTTCCTCTACAACACTAGGATAAATGTTTAATAATGTAATCATTTGGGTTAGTCAGTAAAATGGGAGCAGTGTCTCCACCAGTTGCAGCCAGGCTCTGGGAAGGCGGCCCCTAGTCTGATTACACCCTTGACCTATGAAATGGACAGACATCGTCAGCATGGAGGGGTCAGACCAAGTGGAGCAGAGATTTGACCCTAATGTGCCACCTCTGCTCCCACATTCACACATACAGGAAGACAAAATGGAGGGGCTCTGATTCCTGTGATTTTACTTGTGTTTGAGTTAAGAGGTAAAGAAAACAAGTGGACTTGTTCTAGAGTGAGATTTACATGTGGACATGGCTGGTCTGTTGAAGAGTTGAAAACAGTGCTGTGTTACAAAGAGAAGGGCTTACAAAATAACTGCAGGTCGCTGATTGAATGTCAGCCTCAAATACCAAATGTACTCTTTTCCACACTATTCAAATCTGATGAATGAACACTACGTATGTAAGAACGCAGATGTGATTTCACCCTGAAAGAAGACTCACACAGTTCCATCTGTATGCAGGCGATGCTGTGTGAAACATTGGCCCTCCTGACATGTTCATGTGTTTTATGCTACACTGTGCTGTACCTGCAGGCTCTCTGCCAGCTGGCAGTAGTACTCCTTCACATCCAAGGCCGAGGTGATGTCAGGGATGCCAAATTTAATGGCTGCCACTGCTCCTGTGGTCTCTTCTGCAGGCTCCAGCAGACTCACCACTGCCTACTCAACAACACACATAAGCATTTACATATTAGGATGGGCTCATTGTACAACACACCTTTGTGTAGTTAAAAATACTTTTAATGGCACAAAATGAGCTGTCAGCAAGTCCATCGTTTTTGTTGAGAGACTGTAGCTATCTGTAAGTGCTGATAACAACTACAGATGATAAAACAAAGAGAACCTCTGTTTTCATTTAGTATTCAGCCGCACTTCCCGGACCGTGAGTTATTGAGCGTGTCCCAGAGGAAGTGTGTTAAACACTGGGCGGCCATGCTTTGCAGAGGAATACGCAGCATGATGGAGATGTGGCTGCCTCCCTGGGAACAGGGAAGATTATTTCATACACGCTCAGAAGAAACCATGTGAACCCCGTATGTTCTTGTCAGTTTTCTGATTAAAAATGTTTTACATAACTCCAGGGATTTCTTCTGTTAGAGACTGATGATTCAAACCACACTCAAAGCCATACTGCAGTTTCAGCTGGGGTTACAGGAAATATATCTAACAAAGCACCAGTCTATAAAGTCTGCCAATATCCAAGGATCATATTTGAAATTGTATAAAACCTAACTAACAAACTTACAAAAATACTACTGCATTTTTACTTTATTACACATATTTTGAGTTTAAACTGTAATGTCTAAGGTTGATGATGATCAACCATTTATCATAAATGGATGTGATAATAAAGATCTATAGCAAAAATAAAACTTTTTAAAAATACATTGTACCACTTTTTGTAAAGCACTCAATTTGCATTTAACTGGGCACAGAGCCTCATGAACCCCTAATATGGTTTAAGACTAAATAGTGACTTAATCCTCTCCCCATATGTTAGTGTCAACAGGGTTGTTTTGGCTGCAGATCCTCAGAAAGGTGACTGGGGTCATCACAGCTGTGCCGACCCGGGCTTCTCTCCAGCGCTCCTTTCTGACCTGATATTTTGAAATTTTACGCCTATAAAATATTTCTGTCACATGGAGCCACAGTGTTAAATGCAGCCCCTCTCTCACCGTCTCATGTTGGCCCTCCATGTTGACCAGCTGCTCTTCGTAGATAGCCACTTGCTCCCTCAACGCCAGACATTCAGCAGTCACAGCATCCACGTCCTGCAAAAAGACATGGAAATCAAGTTTACAAGCAAATAGAGAAGGTCAAAGTGGGGCTTACACTGATGTAATGAACTACTAATAAAGTTACACATTAATAAAAGCAACTTTTTTTTTCATTGTCAGTCTACTTTAGTGCAGGTAGCCACCGCAATGCAGAGAAAAAAGGGAAGAAAGGGAGGCTTGCAAAGGCTAACTAGACACAAAAGCTCTGTCCACCAATTTATTCACCAGCAGGGGTCCATAGCACATCTACTCTTAAAAGAAGCGGATTAATCGACATTGAATGCAATTACACAGTGGAGATGGGATCTGTTGGACCCATGCGGAGAGGGCTTGATAGTCAAGTTGGGTAGTCGCACTAGGAGGAAGGTTTGGTCTGAATGACAGTAATGCTATTCTGTCAGCGTGGTCAACGTATCAACAGGCTGTATGAATTTCCAGTGGTTAAATAATCTAAAATAAAAATTGCCCTCCCACCCCCGAGAGGTTACATGGTTTCTCTCGAGTCTGAAGCAAAGGGGTTGAATTTGGAAGGGCATTTGGTCTAAGCAGAAAAATTTACCGATCCAAGAATAACATGAGGGTTAAATTCTTCATGCTGTTTTGTCATCTAAACAGGCTCAAAACTATCTAAAAAAAGAACCAGAGCAGATGCTAAACAGGCTGACACGTATTACAGAAAAGTGCCTGATTTTGCCTGTTTAGTACCAGTGAGATTACTACAAATAGCGATAAATGGTAACAGCCACACTTACACACAGTTACACACAAACATATGCGCGTCTGTCTCCTACAGTTGGTAATGAGCCTGTGGGCTGTGCAGGATCAGCTCATCTGCTCTGTGCTGCTCTGCACTCTTTCCCACCATGTTATGTCATCCTCCACCTGCTTCCAATACTGATGTAGTGCTCTCAGCCAGAAAGAAGATTATAGACTGTAATACAGGCTGTGTTACATCTGCAATCCAGATATTAAAACTTCCCTTGAACTATATAGATCTATGTTTGCATGTTGAAATGCCTGAGAGGAGAGGTGCTATGGACTGAGTACAATAAGCAAGGGCAGATGAAAGCATAGAGAAGTTATGATGTAGGTGTGCAGGGGTGACAAGTGTGGGGCTGCAGCTGATTTGGAAAGCGAGAAGGCCTGCTGTTGACTCGCAGTGGACTCTATGAAGAATAACTGTACCACCATCTAGTGGTACAAGTGCACAGTTACAACGTACAAACAGGTGGTTCCTTTACATGGTATTGCTAAGTTATTTGTTACTTTTTTTTTACTTTGCACATTATTTGTAGAAAGTCCAGATATAAAACAGACTCAATATTGATAATGTGTGGCTTTCATTAGAAGTAAAGTTAAAGTGGGACTAAACAGTGCTCCTGAACTCTGCAAGTCTACTTGGTTTTAATTGCATTGTCTCTAGTCTTTTAATTATTTATTTATTTTTACCATTTTATTGCAAACAAGTTAAATTTGCAGATGTGCTACCAATAAAATAAAAACGTTTAAAACTCAGTGTGTGCTCCCTCCAGTGGCCACTAAATGTCTTATACTCTTTCAGTCCCCCTGGCGCAGTCCTGTTTAAAGCTCTGTTTGAAGTTTGTCTATGTGTGGCGTTCACACCTTTCACTCAGGCATGGGGAGTGTGAAGTGCCTTGCCCAAGAACGCACTACTCTACCAACTAAGCCACTGCTGCTTACCAACTAAAATAAAAATAAAAAAACAACAACAATATTACATCATTATATTATGGCAGTAGAAAGAGAAGAACTAGATTCTGTAAAGTACAACACAGTGTTTCCTCCATTGCATTTATTTATGAATTGTCATTGTGTATTTTTATGTATTTACTGTAATCTTTAAGACTGCATTTATGTTAAGTGCAATTTAAGATATTTAAGTATTTTACTACCTTTGTAGTTACAGTACTATGACTGACTGAGTGAAGTGTAGCGGAGATGTACCTCGGAGACATACTGGCGCTCCTGTTGGACTAGTGTCCGCTGCTGTGATGTCTTTTCACAGTCCTCCTTTAGACGCTCCAGCTCTTTCCGCAGTGTCTCGCTGTCACACAAAATCTCATCCTAAACGCACATACAGATTATTGCCTCTGTGATGGATCACTCTCTACTGTGAAAAGCATTAGGGCCACTGAGATGCCCGCATGCCTGGGCACATGTATGTGGATTCCCATGGAGTATCTAAGTGAGAACTTAATTTAGGCATGCCACCGCCCATGGAAACATCCAGTGCCCTACCCGCTCTGCGCGCAGTCTCTGCACCACTGCATCCAGGCCAGACTCCGGTACAGCCACAGTGGAGCTAATGGACCCCTCTGTCCTGCCCAGTCTGTCCTCCAGATCCACAATCTGACATTCAAGAGATTCATTTTCCTCCTCAAAACAATGGGCCTGGAGAGGAAACAGCAGAGGCGTAAGACAAGTATGGACATTATTGTGACTACTTAAAATAATAATTTCAACCTCACCAGTTCAATAAGTTTGACTAAGCGATCATTCAGTGCAGCAATGATTACGCGATCATGGACAAATCTGTTCAGACCCTCTTTGTTTAGTGTTCTGGAGGCCACAAAGTCCAACTTGTCACAATCGCACTTGCCAATGGCAGCATTTCTGGGAGAGAAAAAAAAGTATTTGTTTGCATTTAGTAGATGTTGATGCGTTCAGTACTTGATAATGTCCAGTACTTCATAATCCACAGGAGCCAGATATAAAGACAAATGGGAAAAGAGAACACTGACCTGGCGCGGTACTGTCCCGCACACTGCAGGCTGACCCCTCCATTTCGCCCCCAGCCCTCTTCAAACAGCTTTCTGTATGAAGACACTCTGAGCATGGCCATGGCTTTGAATGGATTCACTCTGGTCTAGTGTATCACAGGCAAGCAGTAGCAGCAGGTCAGATGAGAGACTTTTATAATCTCTGGGAATAAAAATTTGGCACAGTGGTGAAGGAAATCTCACAGCTCAATCAATAGACCAAGTATAGAGTCAACATCAGCCAGGAAGGATTTTACATGTACGTGAAGAGTGAGCTGTCCAAAGTCAAAACCTCTGTAAAGGGAAAAAATCTCAACACAAATGCAAACAGCAACAGCTAAAGCAATAAGTTACATACATATTTATTTCAGTTAAATAAATTAAAGTTACAAAAGTTGAAGTGAAGACAGTCTGACACAAAACTACACTGTTACATCATCAGGTACAATGACAAACTACAATGAATGATCATGACATTGATGGCATGATGGTCGATGAGAAAAGACTCACAAAGGGATGGTTAAAAAGGTAAAAAGACCTAGATTTGTTTCAGATTAATTTCTTTGTCTTTGAGGTGCTTAAAATTATCAAGCTACTTTTAACTGTAGATACCTAGTGATCAAGTACATTATTAGACAATATAAGGCTGAGACAAAAGAAAACAGAAAAGTATGATTGTCAAAAGTTGAGTTTAAATTACACACATCTGATTTACAAATTTTAGTATGCAACAAAAAAGTTAAGGTTAAATATGTATAAAATAGATGGAGGAGTTATTACCAATTTAGTTAGCAGTTTTCACTTGAAATTTAAATGAGGGCACAATTGTTGCCGATATTAGTGAAATGTTTTTTTAATTACCTTTTTAGCATTTATGGTGACAGAGACCAAGAAAAGTAAACTTTGACAACAAATAAACAGTACCACTTTCTTGATGACACTATCAGATGTGATAACATTGAAATACACACTATGTACATCACTGCAGACACAAAACAGAGGAGGTCAACTTGGGTAGTAAGGAGTGTGTTTTGAATTACATTAGTGTGAAATGGACTCTGTAAGGCTGACAACGTACGTACAGTAACTGCATTCACAAGCACAGCAAACATTTAAAAAGTGTTTTCCTTATTTATGATAAAAACAAGTAACTTAAAACAGGAAACTTAACTTGACTAAACAGGAAACTTAACTTGACGAAGCCCCAGATGGATTTGCATAAATAACAGATAAAAGTACAAGAATGATAAATTATTGAAAAGGTTTTGTGATGATTGTCAAATTATTATTACTGTTTGAAAATTATATATTCTGCCAAAAGATTTCAGCAATATTCATTCTACTTTAAAAGCTTCTTTCTTAGTGTAACATTCTAGGCGCATTCACCAATAGTGTTTACCCACTCAAACCACTCATTATTTACAATGAATTTAGGCAAAACCAAAACAACACAGTTCTAGTCTGGAGGCACAGGTCCTTTAGGTCTTCTGAAAGTGCATAGACATCAGTTTTAAACCCCCATCAGGCTCCCAGCAGCACATTCAGCCGCAGCAGGTAAACTTTAAGGTGAATTCGTTACCAAAACACCATTATTGAAGTAAAACAAGTGAAAGGTGAATGTACCGCTATCAGTTAAAGAGACACGGTGCAAAATAAGTGTACTTGTTTTGGTTGAAGGTGATAACTTAAAATGTTCCACACAGTTCATGTTTCACAGCAGTTTCACTCCTCCTCTCCAGCCATGAGAAAACCCAGGATAAAATCAATGCCTTTCTGACGGTCGTGTGATGTCTGCTTGCCCACGAGGTTGGGAGGGGGACGGATAAGGAGGCTGGCGAAGAGTGTAGCTGAAACATGAAATAACAGAACAACATTAAACAGTGAAAGGAATGGCTGCAGTTAGACATACAATCTCACACAGATGTACAGAAATACCATACCCAGTAGATTGGCTGTTAGGTTGTTGTTATGAGAGTGTTTGAGGAGCTCCTTCAGGAAAGCCATCAAGTAGCGGAACACATTGCGATGAGCCCGTGGCAGCTGAGATATTAACTGAAGCGTAAAACAGAAATTATGTTATATTTCGTGCTATTTATTCCATGATATGACTTGAAATTTAAAATAGTCCTTGCCTGCTTGCAGAGCCGGCTGTCGTGCGAGCACTCTAGGCACCTTTGGTAGAGTTCATAACAAACCACTGGCTCCGGCAAAGCCTCCAAGAAAATCAGCAGTGCTTCAGCTACAGAGTGATTACAACCAGCTACAGGCAGCGTTAAAGAAAAATACTACAACAGACATGAAGTCCCTGAAACATTACAATTAAATTAAATAAGGATACGGACAATGTCTGGAATGCTTGTGTCCAAACAGTCAATGATGCTCTGTAGCTCCTCTTGTAAACCAGGTGTCTGGAAAAGGTCCTCCTAGAAAACGCAGAACATCATTTATTGCAGTTAAATCCATATTATGCCTGTACCAATACATTTTCTCCAGCAGTTGTTACCTGATCACATGACTTTGTAAACAGGTGGTTGACGAGGATCCAAACTTCTTTAGGAATATTCAGAGGCCGATCTTCCCCATTTCCCCCATCCACCATAAGAAAATTCACCTTGGACTTTTCCTGATATAATAAAATAATTTAGTTAATATTTTAAAATGAATACAATTAATAAATGTGTTTCTCTGTTGCATGACACGACATATTAAAGCCAGAATAGAAGAACCCCACAGCAGATCCAAACTGAAGAGACTAACCTGGACTTTCTGTGTGTCAGACAGAGTAATGAGTTTCAAACAAATACACTGTTATTTGATTATATTGAAGTGACAGCATTAAGTCATTAAGGGTATGACAAACTTCCCATTTTATATTAGTAGTGAAAAGTAGAGTGTGTGTCACATATTAGACACACCCATTGCAACTACACAGAGGCAAATATACTATACAAGTGAGTGCCAATCAAAACTCTTACTTTTACTAGTAATAACTAATCAAAACAACATCAGCAGTGTTGGAAATTAGGCATGGTCTATTTTTACCATGTTCTGATGGTTATACAAGAAATATATTTCGGTGGGTTGGACTTTGCTCCAAAGATTTTCTGGGTGAGTGACCATAAGGGATTATAGCTAAACCAGTATTGTGTGTCTGGGCATAGATTGCCTACACTCATGGTATGTACTTTACTTTTATTATACTTTCATTTGTACCGAGAAGTTTACCCTTGAATAATACATCTAATTACACATTAACAGACTTTACCAAACAAAAGATCCAGATGAACACATTTAATATTTGGTGCTATAAAGCAGTTATAACTTTGGTTAATGCTTTACCTTGTCCATGTAGCTGTCCTCGCCCTGAGAGAAGTCAGCCCACAACCACAGTGACAGTCAGAAATTAATGATCAAGCCAGGAAAAGGCGATGGAGAGAAATAAGAAATAGAAAAAGTGAAAGTGCAAGATGCCATTAAACAAAGAATTCAGAACTTCAAACTACAAATATAGAAAACTGAAAAGTAAGAAAACCAGGAATAAAAGGCTGGATATTGATACTTTGCAGTGCAATCACAGTGGGGGTGTTCTCCATACATCTCTATGGTGAAGTGTTAAGCAGCTACCGTGGAGACACTATGCACACATTGGCAAACACTACCAAAAAAGGAAAGAAGAAATTCAATTCTGTCACCCAGACAAAGGTTTTTGATCGAATATGTTTCGAAGCTCATCCAAGCCGCTTCTCCAGTTGACAGAACTGAATTTCTCCTTTGCCATGGATCCTACCTGGACGACTGAGGGATTTTTACAAACACTGTCAAAAAAGCTTTAACATAGTCTGAACTCAAGAAGAAATACAGATACATTTAAACAACTTATTCAGGAACCTGTGATCAATATGAGTGTTCATGGTCCAGTTTAGGTATTTGATTTTCAACCAAAAAATCCTTGTGACAATAATTGAGTGTTTCATGTCACCTGTTGTAGTTCCAAATCAGTCAGTTATTTATGGTCAGATTGTGTTAAACCAAAGGTCAGTCTACCTTCAGTTAGCATTCACACCCCCAGGGAACATTGACGACAGCTGCAAAGCATCAATAAAAGTCACATTGAGTCATAAAAGTCCTACAGAAGCAAGGTTAAGAATGAAAGTATCAAGTGTATGCAAAGATATTCAACAATGTATGTAATTATATCCAACTTTGGAAGCCCTAGTGCCCTACCACTTCCACGTTCCTTAAGCCACCATAGCCAAGACCTATAAATATATGGAAAGATAATATATGCTGTTCCATTTTTAGATCATCTTTGAGGCCCAGTGAGTTTCCCTGAAGTGAGCAGGTCCTCACTTATACCAGTTTGAGATTCACAACAAATGAAGAAATACTGTTTTACTAATTTATAAAGCAGCTTTTCTGGTTAAAGTTGCACACACAAGATGTTGCCAGTGCTCACCAGATCAATGAGTTTAGTGATAGGAATCTCTCGGATGGGCTTCTTCATTCGACACAGGGTTTCAAGCGAGGTCCCGAAGCAGCTGGGTAGTTGCCAGAGATGGTGATAAAGTAGTCTTTTCCCCGGTCCAGATGGAGCACCAGAATGTCCTCAATAGAATCCTCCCCAGAGTTCAGCAGAGTGACTGAGTCTTTACTCACATATACTTCCAAGTAAATCTCCAGAGTCTCACCTGGTCAAAAACAGACAGTAAATTTCAATGTTATTGTAATGTTAGCAGCCTATGATCTTTATAATGACCAAGGGTGAGAAGTTACTTATCACAAATATACAAACATAACTGTGATAATTGTACTTGGGGAGATTTTTAAGCATGCACTTGTAATTGACTATAATAGTCACCAGGTAATAGCAGTTTTTGGTCTTTTCTACAGATACAAAGACACAGAACAGCACTGCTCTGTTATATGTGGATAGCCGTTTAAAACCTGCTATAGATCATGAAAGAAAGAAAGAAGAAGTTTGAGTGGTATTTTTAGCCATATAACTGTACAAGATTAGAATTTCCAGTAATCTTTCCACCACTGATATTGGTTCTGGTTCAAATGTAAAGCAACTATAGTAGAAAATGTGATTATTGCACAAATTATGGTTTAAAAAAAAAAAAAAAAAAGAAATTACTTACTAGGATCCAGCAGTCCATCACTGGGTTCAGCCCGGAGCCAGTTCTTGCAGTACTGAGAATCATTGAGCTTAGGGATGAAAGCAAAATGGCAAGGGACCTGTCCATCGTTGGTTATCAGAAAACGTTCCCGCTGAAGCTGACGGAATTTGACATTCTCAAATGTAAACTGTGGGATTTAGAGTGAAGACAGTGTTAAAAGTGCTGTTCATTAGTGTATGTAAAATATGTTGCTAAATTTGACATAGGTTGTCATACTTCTCTTCTGCTCAGGGACACAGATGGGAGAAAGTCATTCTCCATTCTGTCCATTTCCCGAACAATCTCCTCAAACACCTTTTTGTGCCGCTGCTCATCTACCACTTTGACCTATGACATACAATAAAGTTACAAGTTTATTTATGAGAATAAGAATACTACAGGCCATAGGCTGAAGATGTATTTTGGACTAATATACTTGATTGCATAACGTCTTACTCCTATGCTGAAGAGAGAGCTGACAGGTTTATGGTCACTCGTCTTCAGTTCCATGTGACTCCTGTATTTAATCTGCTTGACACTACTACCCCTCCACAGGATTCTGTCACACCAGGCCGGGACACGGCACTTCCCACTGTGGAAAATCAACAAGAGGTCAGCTGTTAGTCACACATACACCACTGTTGAGCTCATATCAGAGTCCTTCTACTGTAGTTTATGAAGACCTTGTTGGCAATAAGTCAGATTCAAGCAGTTTTACCTTGAGTCCCAACGATCAGTCTTTGGGTCGTACTTATAGGTAGGAATGAAATTTATCTCTCCCTCCAGGAAGTCAGTGAAGGCTCTTTTGGTTGATCGCTGGATATTTAACTAGAAACCAATTGATAAAAATAAATTCCCTTGCTAAATACTTTTATTTTATTGTATTGATGCAATTCCTCACCTGATCAACTTCCAGGAGTGTTTTTAATTGGTTTTTAGCTATATGTCCTTTAACTTCAGATGCATCATACATAAATAGACGATAGTTCAAGTCCCCAAGCCAGATAACAACACTAAACACAAAACAAAAATACGTTCAGAATTAAATTGAGCCATCAAGTGTCATTTTTCAGTTATAAAACTTATAATCCTACGTTACTCACTCATGCTTGACAATATTGAGTGGCGGTTGGTCTAGTAAGTGGAAGGTCATACGCGCGCATATGTCTTTGTAGTCCTGGTTACGCCGTTCAAAGTCTTCCACATGCGCTGCTAGATGTGAATTCACAAAGCAGAAGCTTGTATTGTGGAAAACAAACCTTATAGCAACACCTCCTTTATTCCCCTGTAAAAAGGAAAGAATCAGTGTATAATTTCTTTGGGTAAAAAGCATTAATGAAGCAGCTGATACCAACCATTTTCCCCATAATTCCTGTGCCCACATGTTCAGCAGCAACTTCTTTGATGTGATTTAAATGAGACTTTTTAACGTACACAACCAGCATCATTCCTACAAGCCTAATCACCCGAACCTGTTGGGAAGACAATTATAGACAATCATAATGTTGAAACTAATATTTTCTCACTGAAAGGAGATTTGCTAATTTTGTTATTCACCCTTCTATATTTTCCTTTGGGATGTAAACTCCTCTCCACAACATCCAACCACAGCTGTTCTTTAGAGGAATCCATGTAGAAGAAAGCCTCGGTGCTGAGGTCAAGTTCCTGAAATCTAAAACCGAAAAAATGTATAACAAAAATGTGTAAAGGTTTAGAAGAAAAGTAATTAGCTTAACAAATTACTAACCCAAGTGCATAGACATCAGGAGCATCTTGATCACAGCAGAGCCATGCCTCTAAACTGCTGTCTGGAGACTGACCATTGACGTTCCATGTACCTGTAAAGAATCTAATGAAAAGCACAATTGTTGTTTAATCAGTATTAATAAAGTAAAAATATGAGACACAATGCAAATTGAATAGTCTTACCTAAAGTTTTTGAAGTCCACATACTCGCTTTCTTTTTTTATCAGCCTGTGTTTGATAACATATTCACGCTGCCCTGCCTGACTCGAGAACATGGCCTGTCTCATGCTGTTTGTGGTCGGACTGTCAGACCAAGAGGGTGACCTGTCCACACGGTCAAAGCTTGATAGAGATTTGGGGAAAAGGGCGTTAGCTTTTTTAGAGCAACATGTGTTTATTTGATTGGCTTTTAACTTACTCTGGTCTGGTGTTTGCGTAAAATTCTTTAGTCTGTAGTGAAGCAGATCTGTCCTTGGTGACTGGCGGTGGAGGGAGAGGGTTGGTTGGAGAAAAGGTGGTCTTACGAGGAGGGAGAGGAGGAACAGGGGGAGGGTCTCTGGTGGCTACTAAACGATTCTGCTGGTTCTTCTTTTCTTCTACCTTAAGAGTGTGGTTATTGCTGCTGTCAAAACCGAAGTCTGAGGCAAGCGCATGAACAGGATCTGACAATGTGAAAACAAAACAAAGTGTAAAAAGTGAACATGTGTTGTTTAGAGGCCGTATATTAAAACAAACCTGTTTTTTTCTGTTGGGCTGAAGAGTTGTTGAGGTTGGGTAGAGAACTGTTCTTTCTTGGAGGGCCAGTTCCAGAGTTCACTGAATTTGAAACCTTACTTCCTCTATGAGGTGGAATAGGCACAGGACCTCTCGGGGCAGCTGGTGCTAGCGGCTCCATCACGTCTGGTTTTACAACTTTAGATTGAACTAAAATTGAAATTATACTTTCAGAAAAAGTGTTTATGAGCCTGATTTTGTATGAAGTTACAATGTTGAGTTTTATTTAATAAGGATGCTAGAAACAAAATGGGTAAACAGTGTAATCCACTCTTTAAGATCAAAGTTAGATGAGGAATTAAATTATTGAGAATGCAGACAGTCTTACCTTGCTCCTGGGCACTCTTCACTTGTGTGAGAAAGAGCTGGGTACGTTCATCATCCTGAAGTTCTAAAAGCAGTTCAGGGCTCTTGTCTCCTTTGACTCGGACTCGTACAAAGGCTGTGCAGGCACATAACAGATGGGTTACACATATTTAACCCACATATTTAGTTATTCTGAAAACACAAACTAGAAACAAAGCATAGATCCACATTAGTCTTACGAATTCCTCCAGAAGGCGATAGTAACTCATGACTAATGCCTGCTGCCACATACAGAGGCAGACATTTGGCTAAAAAAAAGGCTTGTTCAATTGTTAATGGTGATTAACTAAAGGGACCATATGAGTGAGTGCTTGGTCTGTATCATTTATAATAAATCATTGTCTGAAACCTGTAGCTGAAGAACAAAGAAACACTAAGGGGACAAAAACACAGATTCAAGGACAAAAATTAATACTTACAATTTGCAGAAAAGTCAATTAGAAGAGCCTCTTCTGCTTCTGAAAAGACAAATAGCAGAACATAATTAATTTAATAAATATTAAAAACAATGGCCTTCATAAACTTCACACTGTAGAGATTATTGTCACAAAGACAAGTTTGGTGGTCAAATGTTGTTATATCTACAACAACCATGTCTGTTTTTGTTTTATATAATTGTAATAAGCAGATGGATTATTGAACACATCAGAATTGTTACCTACTAAGAAACACATTAATATTATATCTTAAAACAACCTACCCCGAAGGAACTCAAAATTGGCATTGACAGGTATTGAAAGCTGGGCTACTGGTCGAGAGACAACAGCGTCAGGAGTGGCCAACACACACAACCTGAATGAGAGAGGCACAAGAAGCAAAGTTTAAAAGTTAAGTCCCTAATATAATGTATATGTATGTAATATAACACTTGTCAGAGCAAAGTCTATCAAAGAAATTAGTGTTTTAGAGAGGCAGTTTGTGCTGAAGTAAAAATGGCAACACATGTCAAGGATTAAACGGGTTAAAACATTAACTGCAATGTAAGATGATGAAAGGGGTTAATTTTACATGCACATACATCATACATGTGTGAGTGTGTGATCTTGTGTTTAAGAGAAGTGCTAAAGCTCTGTTATAAACAAAACTGGGATGTGTGTGGGCAAAGCCATATTTTTACAAGAGCTCTGCTCTGTGCAGGATGCTCAGCAAAGTGTGATAACAGTTGGAAACAGGAAAATGATTCAGCTCTTCCTCACCCATATATGGCAGAAAGTTCCTTATACTTGATTCTTTCACAGAATCTCGCACTAGTTCTGCAGTTTATGTTCTTGCTTAGTAGTAAAATGATGTAACATGATGTATGCAACAAAGTGTGTTAAGAAACTGCACAAATACCACATGGTTTAAGAAGACTACTACTAATAAGTATGAATGCTGTCAATTAAGCACTGATACACCAACTTGTGTTTGTGGCAGCCTGGCTTTGTCACAATTACAAGAAATGAAAAGACCATGCTGTGTATGTTTTCCATAAGGATTACAAACAGTAACAGCTGCACCTGGCTTCTTCTACATATACTAGAGGTTTCATATTGACTCCTGAGGGCAGCATGGCCTTAACACAGTTAGCTAAGCACGGGCTTGTGCATCCATGTGAGTCTAATTATGGGCCAGGGTTTAGTAGAGAATTCTCAATAACGGGCAGAGAACACGTTGGTAGTGAATACAATTGTGTTTTAACGTAAGATAGAGTACACCTCTCTGAAACCAAACAACACTGGAATCTTAATGCAAACCAACGTTACCACCTTATTACTGTGAAGTTTGTAAAATATTATGTACTCACAACACCAATTTGAAGTCTGTGTATGTGAAGCTGAGTGATACTTACAAAAAGTGACCAGAGCGCTCAATGAGAGACAGTAGTCTGGGCTCCCTCAGGCCTGACCTCAACTCCTGACCTCTCACAGTGTGAGCAGTGTGATTAAGGAACAATATGACATGAAGGTGTGTGCACAGCTTCAAACCAGGTTAAGTTCACGTGAAGCAATGGCATTAATACTGTGCATGCAAATGCTAAACTATGAATATGATTTGAGAGGTAAGCGGCCAAAACCAAGCAGAAACAGACGATTGTTCAGGAAATTACAGGATAAGGTAAAGAGAAAATCATTATCATTACAGAATTTAGTGGCATTAATATAAGTCACACAGATAAACATAAAGACACCTGTGTGCATGTGTTTGGCTCAATCGGTCTTAAGAGAATAAACGAATCAATCACACCGGTCACGTCTGCCAACAACAATATTTACCTGCCATCATGCTAACATTAGCCAAGACATCAGGGTTTTTCATGTGGCTTATTATAAAAAGGATATTGCGAGGCACACTTCGTCGCTTATCCCAAAGCCCACAGATGAATCCATTCTGATCAAGACTACACAGATAGCAGTTTGTAATAACACATAGCGCTCAGGACTGGACGTGGTTTTAATCCAGACGCGCTGCTGAGAGAAAGTTAAATCCCCACCCGGCGAAGCAGCGGCCTTCCGGGGTGCCAGCTGTTAGCCGCTGTTAGCCGCTGTAGCTAGCGCGTAGCTTTAGCCCAGTGATGCTAACATTCCACAGTGTTGCTCTCTCTCTGCTGATGAAGACGAGGCTTAGTGTTCAAAACGAAGCTCTAGATCGATACCATTCTCAAACAACTGCATCCGTCGTATTCTTCCTCGAATCCTTGTTGGTTTAAAAACTACATATAGAACAGTTTGTGACATTTGTGGCCCGCCTCCTAAACTTCACAGGCTTTAATTATTAAGTGCGCGGCGCCACCTTGTGCCCGGGGGCTGAAGTACACTGCATTTTGTTCATATATTTTCTTTTTTATGCTACACAAGATTACAATTGAATTATTTCTAGAACAAAAAATTTGCATACTCTCATACAGAGCTGGCCATTGTGATACACCTGAACATAATGATCCAAGCAGCCACCACTAAGCACCCCCAAACAGGCTGAAGAACATTATTCTTATTCTTAACATCATTCTTTCTAGAGCAATATTCACACTTATTAGGCAAGTGGGTATTGACCATATCATGATTTTTATATGCATATTTTCCAACTCCAAGCTGTATAACCTAGAATTCTTCTTGTAGCATATCAAGTAATGTATTTGTCTAACGAGAGAGGGTGTGGCCTTAGGAGACCAACGCTCTATATCAAAGTGTGCAGAATTATTAGGCAGCTTCTTTTCCTCGAGCAAAATAGGACAAAAAAGAGATTTAACTGACTCTGAAAGGTCAAAATTTGTAAAAAAGTGTTTCAGAGGGATGCTGCACTTGCGAAGATATTGGGCAGTGATCACAAAACCGTCAAATTTCAAGACATTTGAGAAGAATCAAACATCCACCAGGAACCCATTATCCCCCAGTGCTGTCATATTCCAGAACTGCTGGAGTGCCCAGAAATACAAGTTCAGTGGCCAAGGTAAGGATTTTTCAAAGGTTTTATGGACTGAGCTGATCACAAGTACAAACTATGGAACATTCTCACATCTGGCTTGACAGTGGCTGCTTTCAAACCAAACCTGCACCCACAGTGTGGACTGATGAGTGTCTCGAGAGAGAGTGATGTTCTGGAGTGAATGAATTGAATGATGATTTTGATAAGGATGATGATTTTAAGGTACTGATTGAACTGGGTGTGACTGAGGATACAGAATGATATGATTCTCCAGTCATTATAAAGACATTCTCTTTGTATGTTTGATTTTATGAACTATAACATCAACCTGCCCAGGGACTACAGGTGGAAATTAGCACTTGCTCTACAACTGGGTACAATGCATCTCTCCTGTTAAACTTAATGCATAATGTGCACTGTCCCTGTCTGAGAGTGACTCTTGCTTGACCAGATGGATGGGCAAGAGGTGGGGTACTGGTATGGGCTGTATTATTAAAGCTTGTTGAAAGAGCTTGTTGGACCTTTTCAGGTTAAAGATGGACTCAAATGAACTCCAAAACCTATTGCCAGTTTTTAGAAGATAGTAGAAGTCTGCATCTTTCAAGAGGACCATGATTTTTCTGCAGGACAATGCTCCATCGCATGCATCGAAGTACTTCACTGCTTGGCTAGCCAGTAAAGGCCTTAAAGTTGAAAAAATAATGACATGGCCTGAACTTGTGAGCCCTTCTTAAACAGGAGATTTACGGTGAAGGAAAACAGTAGACCTTTCTGAACAGTGTCTGGGACGCTGCACAATATGTACAAACTGTGTGCATAATTATTAGAGAGGATGTATTTGTAAGTTTTTTTTTATATATATATAACTGAACAACTACAGTGCTCTTTGTCAATCCAAAATGTTTTAAAATTTAAAAAAGTGAAAGTGAAGTTTTGGCTTTTTTAGGAGAAAATCTATGTGTGCACATTTATTGGGCAACTATTAATGTGCAGAATTATTATGCAACAAAATGAAAAATCAACATTTCCAGTATAGTAAAGCCCATAAGCCTTCCATTCATGAAGCCTGTCAGTTTCTTGATCTGTTTAAGATCAACTTTTTGTGCAACAGCAACCACAGCCTCAGACACTGTTCAGAGAGGTGTACGGTTTTCCTTCACCATCAATCTTTTCCTATTCCACTGCTTGAAGAAAGTGTCTTAATAAACTGGCAGTAGGTTCTGGAGTTCAATTTGAGTCTATTTTCAACCCGAAAAGATCCAACAAGCTCATCTATAATAATACCAGCCCATACTAGTACCCCACCTCCACATTGCTGGTGTCAGAGTTGAGGTGGAGCTCTGTGCCCTTTACTAATCCAGCCACAGGCCCATCCATCTGGTCAGGTAAGAGTCACTGTTGTCTTGTCTCATCAGTCCATAAACCCTTTGAAAAATCTGTCTTCAGATATTTCTTTGCCCAGTCTTGACATTTCACCGTATGTTTCTTGTTTGGTGGTGGTCGGGTTTCAGCCTTCCTCACCTAGACCATGTCTCTGAGCACTAAACTCCTTGTAGTCAGGGAGCCAAAGTCTCAAAAGCTCTAGAAAATGGGTTGAACCTGACATCGCCTGCCATACTTTTTATTTGTGTTTTTTTTTTGTTAACTGTGACCCTGAGGACCAATAATTGGAGGGTCTGCCCTTCCGGAAATATCGCGAAAAAAAATTGTGGCCATTTTAGTGATAGAAAATTTTGAAAAATGTCCTCAAATCCTCAGTGGATTGGGGAAGCTGTCTACAAATACATTCCAGATGCAAAGAACACATGTGGTGACAACATTCAGTGAAAAAAAAATCATAAAACACATTTCTACATGATTTTGGCTCAATTTAATCCCAAAAAATAAGGCATTTTTTCCACTTTTTTCCAATATTTTCATCTTTACCTCATTGGCAATCAACTATTCCCCCAAGTTTTGACATCAGCCAATATGCCATTCTTTTCTTCAAACAGTATAGTCATTCCACAGAAAAAAATATTAAAATCCAACCAAAATCAATGGATCTGTGATGATTTCTTTACCATCAACAGGCCCAGAACCTCAATAGAATGTTAGGCTACTCTCAACATTCCATAAGGCACACTGGATATTTAGCATGGTTGTTAATGTCCACATTATTAAACATTATTTAAAAAGTCAACGCCAAAGTGAAAGGCACCAGCTGTTCACCAAGAAACACCTTCCACTGCAAAGAGACCAAGACGTGATGTTGCTGTAAAACCACAAGAACATGAAAGTGCAGCTCAGTCTGTTTGTCTTCTGCTCCTCTCCATTAACTAACAGGATTTTACTTTGATGGCGCTCCACATACAAAATGTTCTCTGCAAACTCAGGATGAGTTAGGAAGGCAAAGGTTTCCTTTTTGGTTCTTCCTGTGAATCAATCCTGCCCATCACCTTCACCTTTCACTATTTTTCAATTCCGTTGTGAAGAGAAACAGTTTGAACAGAGGTTTGAGTCACACACATCTGATTCACTTTTGCATTTATGGAGTTCGCAAAACAAATTTCTCGAGTCGTTTTCCGCTGTTAGGATCCAACAACCACACAATTAACAATATCTGAATCACAAAACTAAAATATGACAATATCAGAACCAGAAACAAAAGTGATATGGTTCAAAAGACTTGAAAAGATTGACTTTGACAATAGACACATCCCACTGGGAAAACAAACATGGAGGTTTGATGCTCACTTTTTTGGAAAATCCTTCCCAGTATTTTTTGATTGCACAATGTACTCAAACCAAATTTAGTACACAGATGCATCATGGGAATAGGAACAATAAAGTATATTGTGACCACGCTCTCTCCCAAACTGGAAGTCCACCATCTTGGATTTAAAAAAATAAATAAAAAATCAACACATACAGAAATTGAGAAAAATAGTAGGGTTCGGTTAAGATCAGGGGTTAGGGTTAGGTTAGGGGTAAGGTTCGGGTTAGGGCTAGGGTTAAAGGTTGTATGGAGGATTTTTTTTTTGTTTCAAATTGTCAATGATAGCATTATAGAGATGCAGTAGCCTTGTAATTATGATGACCAAAAAAAAGAGAATAAAAATTCATCAACTCTGGACGTTTTGGGGCCAGCTAAACATTTGCCAATAGATAACGACACTGCCTCGTTATCTGTTAGCTGACAGGCTGTCAATCAATCTCCCTACGTTTCTAGCGTAACTGACTTGCCAGTGCGCCGCCGGTACGTGGTTTACGTACGCCTGTCACGCAGTCCACAGACACAAGCCGCACAGACGCTGTTTACTCCACCAACGCAACAGTTCTTAGCGGCTTTTTTTTACCTATATCTTCCTCGCAGTTAGCACAAAGTTTGTTGCAATGGCAGACAAGAATCCAGGAGCAGTTAGCCGCAAAAGAAAGTCCGTTTTTGAGATTGCTGAAAGAAGAAGACAAGGGGAAAAGCAGCGAAGCCAAACTAAGGTGATTCTTGAAGATTCATTCCAGCGATGGCGCAACTGAAGCAGACGCAGGGTCTAAAGACTGACGCATTGGTTGCCAAATTACTCCTGGACAGGTCACTTCTGCTTATTATGAAAACGTACTTTATTTCCAAGAGCTAGTCAAAGGTTTTTCAGGACACGAAAGCGATATCCTATGTCTGAAAACTTAATTTTCAAGGCAAAGAAAGAGTCCGCTTGCTGCTGCGTGTTGTAGCTAGTTCATTCGCACTGAATCTCCGCGCAACCTTCTCTGCACCCCTTTCCTGCTCCTCTCCCCGCTGCCCAATCCGCTCTTCCCCCTGCTCCTCACTTCCTCCGGGCACGGAATCTCCGCGCACCGCTCCCCTCTCCTCTCTCCTCTCCCTGCTCCGCTCTTCTCCCTACTCCTCACTTCTCGTCCGCGCACGAAATGTCCGCGCACCCGCTCCCCCCGCTCCTCACTTCTCCGCCTTGCCTAACCAACACTGTTAGTAGTTTACAAGTCATGTGCAGCGCACCGGCTGTAAGCAAACCTGTTTCTGGCGTAAGGAGGAGGCGGGAGGAGGCGTTTCTACGTAGGGAGCTGTAGGGGAGGGGGGGTGGTTTCACGCATGCGCAACATTTGAAAAAGGACAAACAGTCGCTGGATTTCTCGTTCCTTGGAAAATCCTCTATACAACCTTTAAGGTTAGGCTAGGGTTAGGGCTATGGTTAGGAGTTCATGTAGGTTTAGGCAAGGCAAGGCAAGTTTATTTGTATAGCACAATTCGTACACAAAGTAATTCAAAGTGCTTTACAGAATAAGAAATATATTAAAATCATAATAAAAACAAATCAAAACATAAATAATCATGAAGATTAAAATTAAAAAAGAGAGACATAAATTGGAGAGAAGAGTGCGGAATGAAAACCTTTTAGTTATATGCACAGTCAAACAGAAATGTTTTGAGCCTGGATTTAAACAGCGAAGAGTCTGTCTCACATGTTCAGGAAGACTGTTCCAGGTTTTAGCTGCATGAACCTGAAATGCTGACTCCCCTTGTTTAGTTCTGACTCTGGGCACCAGCAGGAGGCCGGTCCCTGAGGTCCTCAGAGTGCGAGATGGTTCATATGACACTAACATGTCACAGATGTACTTTGGTGCTCAGCCATGGAGAGACTTGTACATAAGCAGAGTTGCTTTAAAATGTATTCTCTGAGCCACAGGAGCCAGTGCAGAGACCTGAGCACAGGACTTATGTGCTCGTACTTCCTAGTTCGAGTAAGGACCCGAGCTGCAGCGTTCTGGATGTTCTGCAGCGTCTCACAGCTCGTTTGGAGAGACCAGTGAGCAGACCATTACAGTAGACTAACCTACTGGAGACAAACTCATGGATAAGTTTCTCTGCTTTAGACAGTAAACCTTTGATTTTTGCTATGTTTTAGATGGTAAAAGGCTGCAGATATTATTGATTTGATGTGGCTGTTAAAGTTCAAGTCTGAGTCCATTATTACCCCGAGATTTCTTGCCTGATTTGAAGGTTTTAGAGAGAGAGACTGGAGGTGACTGCTGACACTGTCTCTTTGTTTCTGTGGACCAAACACTATGACTTCAGTCATAGGTTTAGGGGTTAGTGTTAATTTAGAAGTTAGATCATTGAGTAAGGTGCATTCGTGGGGCACGGCATGTGCAGAGCCGGGGTGCGGTGTGGCATGGGTGTGGCATAGGCGAGGGCAGATCATTGCCGCTTGCGGCTATTATCATTATTATTATTATTATTATTAGATGCCTAGGCCATGATGTTTAATAATGTGGACATTAACAACCACGCTAAATATCCAGTGTGCCTTATGGAATGTTGAGAGGAGCCTAACATTCTATTGATGTTCTGGGCCTGTTGATGGTAAAGAAATCATCACAGATCCATTGATTTTGGTTGGATTTTAATATTTTTTTCTGTGGAATGACTATACTGTTTGAAGAAAAGAATGGCATATTGGCTGATGTCAAAACTTGGGGGAATAGTTGATTGCCAATGAAGTAAAGATGAAAATATTGGAAAAAAGTGAAAAAATGCCTTATTTTTTGGCATTAAATTGAGCCAAAATCATGTAGAAATGTGTTTTATGAATTTTTTTTCACTGAATGTTGTCAGCTTCCCCATTCCACTGAGGATTTGAGGAAATTTTTCATTTTTCAAAATTTTCTATCACAAAATGAAGGTTACCTACACTAAAATGGCCACAATTTTTTTTCGCGATATTTCCCAAAGAGCAGACCCTCCAATTATTGGTCCTCAGGGTCACAGTTAACAAAAAAAACACAAATAAACAGTATGGCAGGCGATGTCAGGTTCAACCCATTTTTGAAACTTTGGCTCCCCGACTATTGTATTTCTGAGCACTCCAGGTAGGCTGCAGTTTTGGAATATGTCAGCGCTGGAGGATAATGGGTTCCTTGTGGGCTCATGTTTGCTACTTCTCAAATCTCTTGCAGTTAATTTCTGTCTTTTTTCTCAACACTTATTTGGAACACTGTTGACTATTTGCAACAAAACATTTGATGGTTCCCAATATCTTTGCAATTTCACTGTATTGCATCTCTTTCGAAGACTTTTTTTTTTTTTTTTTTTTTTTTACAAATTTTGAACTTTCAGAGTCAGTTAAATCTCTTTTTTGGCCCATTTTGCCTGAAAAAAAAAGCTGCCTAATAATTCTGCACACTTAGGGTGTTGATCTCCTTAAGCCATACCCTCCCTCTTTAGACAAATGCACATAACCTGATATGCTTAAATGCAATAAGAATTGAAGTTTATAGAGCTTGGAGTTGGAGAATGGGCATGTGCATGGATATGTTAGTATTATTTCATTTTGTTTAGATTTTCATTAAGTTAATTTCAGTACACATTTAATTTAATTACTTTATTTAGACTTGTATTTTCTAATGTGGGTGCACATATTTTAGTTCATATAAATCTGAATTATTTACTCACACTTGTTTTGTTTTTTTCTGAGTAGCCAGATGAGGGACCGATGAGTAGTCAAACCTTGGCAGAGACCGTCTATGCCAAACCAAAGGGGGGGAACTATTTAGTTAGTTTTGCTGCTATGTTAGTTTGTCTCGTTTGTTTAAGGTTACTTTATTATATCTTTTTATTTCCTGTATTATAATTAATTGCCTTCTTATTACTTTGATTAACTAGTAGTTTTAGTTAATTATTTAGTATAATTCCTCCTTCTTGTGTTCAGTTTGGCAAAATATTTAATATCTGACAGCTTACAATTTCTAGACCCAAGAATATGGATTAATCCTGTCAGTGGTTGGCACAATTTCATCATTTGATATAAAGTAGGCCTATGTTTGTGCATGGCCTCATTATCTGAACTAAGCTTGAATCAAGTGCCAAATACATGATTTTGTAACATAATAAAAACATGGATGTCAATGAGTTGACTAACATTCTGACCCCCCATAGGTGAAAATTTCAGATTTGGCCACCAGGCTATTTGGAAAGAACATGGGATACAATCGCATATTACAAGTTTAGGCTTTAAGAAAATATGGCATTAAGTGAATTCTATACATTGACGTAATGCATCAGTGCACATGAACAGTTTTTTGGATTTGGGCTTCTTGCTTAGTAACACATAGAAACACAAATGAGACAATGCTAAAACAGTTAATGCATTCAATGACAGCAGATGTGGCTGACATCCACAAAATTGCTGCAAATTGTTTTAAAGTAGCATCATATATAGCTTTTTTTTTTTTTTTAGCACAAACACTATTTAGAGTAGTTCATATTTCTGAGTTACACAAAAAATAATATTACCTTAATTTACATAAAATGATTAAATGATTTAATTCTTTGAGCATATTGCCTCTAAACACAATAAATATAACATTTTATCCCACAACTTTTACAAAATATACTTAAGGTACTACAGTGCATTTACCAGGCTCCACTCAACATAACTGCTGTAATGTTATAGTTTGTTACTGACACTGACTTCGATTACATGTACACTCAAAATCTGATCATCAGATTTTTGAAGCTAAAAGATTATCAAAATGAAATGTAAACAAAATCATCTGATTTCCTGATCACTCACATCAAATTGTGCAGTTTGCATGTTCTTGTAGTATTTTTTTAAAGGAAAAGAAATCATATGAATCAGATTTTGGTGAGCCTGTAACCGCAGCCACTTACAATTACAAGAATAAAATTCAAAAAGTGGTGCTTTAAAACCTGTATCAGCAGGAAATAGTCAGGCGCAGGAACAGCCCAGGAACAGGCCAGGATCAGTTAGTGCATCAGTAGTGCATTCCTTACAAAACTATTATAGCAGCAGACCTCAGGCTTCTTAAGAGATTGAAAAAATATATCTGATAATATTTCACTCAGTTTTATACATTCCATCACTTTCCAGACTGAACAAAAAAGTTGTTTGCAAAGCTGCCTTGCTTGGTCCAGTTCGCAGATAAACTTGGCTCCATAACACAATGAAATGTTGAGTTGTGTCTCCCTTGGCACACCAGTCCTGGTACTTGGTCACACTCAGGTACAGTAATATTGCCCATGGCTGCAAATGCAGGAAGTAGGCCTGGTCCCAACCGGAGTACTCTGCCAGTACAGATACTGCACATTGTCCTGTTTTTGGCCCATATTCCTTAAACAATATACTTTAAGGAGATGCTTGTTTTGTGCTTAACAGCTGAAGTCATACTTCTTAAGACCTTGCTTTTCAGTGACTATTGCTTGTAATGTAGTGCAATGTTTCAGGATTCCTCCAATGCAACACGAGTAGGTTGAGAAACAGTGCCAAAGACTGTTGATGGAAACATCACTTTCAGTGATGTGTTTTTGTCCATTTGTTGAGCCTCAGATGTCATTACATCAGTGACAGAATTAACTGTCAGGAATTGGTCATACAAACTTTTCAATGACAGCAACTCCTAAAAAACAAAAAAATTACGTAACATTTTCAACAAAAAAAGGGCACTACTGTCAGTACTCTTGACATACCTGCATAACTGCGCCCATTGCTCATATTTGTAGGAATGAGGCTCCATTTATCGGTTGCTGGGTTGTAAAACTCTACAGAGGAGAGGTTGCAGGAACCATCATCTCCCCCAATTACATAGAGATGCCCGTTAATGGCACAGACACCTGAAATCATAACCATTTTCTTGTGAAGACCATCATTCATGCATCTCAACTTTTCTAATCAACAACCTGTATTGGCTTTCTAACCCGCATTTCGTCTGCACATGTTCATGTCACAGACCAGCCTCCATGTGTTAGTCTGAGGGTCATACACCTCCACACTCTTCCTGACCAGAGGACCATCATGTCCACCTGCTGCATAAAGCTGACCACCCAACACACCCACACCTGGGCAAAGGATTACAATGTGAAGTCAAAAGGCAAAAGTTTAATGAGAGAATATTCTTCATAAGATTGAGATACCTGCTCCACTGCGCCTTGTGCTCATGTCTGCCACATAACACCATTGGTCGGTCACAGGATCATATTCTTCTACTGTGCTGAGACATTGGCGTGATGCCCCATCATAGCCTCCTACTGCATACAGCTTACCTTGAACACAAACAGCAGATGATTCATAGAACAACATAACAAAGTCAGCATATCTTACCATCCACCACTCCAACACCGACACTGCTGCGCCTGGTGTTCATAGAGGCTACACAGAACCATGTGTTAGTTTTGTAGCTATAAGCCTCAACAGTGGAAAGGCCTAAAGATACAGGAACATTGGTAAAGCAAAATCATTGTTGTCTATGTGGTATTTAAAAAATGGATAGTGTTGTTTTACTATGCACCTATGCTTCCATTGAAGCCACCCACTGCATACAGCAAATCGCCCAGTACAGCAGCTCCCAGTGTACTGCGCCTCTCCTGCATGCTGGCCACTGCACTCCACTGATCCAGAGCTCCATCATACACATCAACTGTTCTTTCCCTCAGAGAGCTGTTGAAGCCCCCAACTGCATAAACGCGACCTGCCATAGAAACTACACCTGCATGCACACAAAAACTGGTAAATATTTTATTATGCTTATTCAAAGAAAGCCAAATGTACCTGCTCTACAGCGTCTAGATGGTAGGTCAGCAACCTGGTACCATCGGTCCTCTTGAAAATCGTAGCATTCGACACTGCGGATGGCTTTTGGTGCTTGCCCACCAACTACGATCATTACCTAATAAAAGGCTCTACTTAACAATGTTGTTTTGCCTTGGTTCTGATTCAGTGCATTTCTGTGTACCTTGGGAATGCTGATTGGAGTTCGTGGCCGGGTCCTGTCTGTCTTAATAAGGTGCCGTTGATCTGCGGGCAGCAGATGATATTTCATCGCTTCTATAAGAAAATCTTTACATGTGTTGTTGTTTTTTATCAGTGCCTCTTCTTCCACAATCTGAAACATGCATTTTAATTTATAATTGCTGTTAGGTGTAACATACCATTGTTACGGAAAAAGAATTCTGTATTTTACCCTTCTTTTAAACAAAAATCTGTGCAGTTTTGTGCAACTAAAGCAGTTTACCTGAACAAGATAATCCCTTGAAAGGAGTGGGAGTCTCACATGTTCCATGAGTTTTGACATATACTCAAGACGAGATGGTTTATCATGTTTGATCCAGGATATCATTGCCTCAAAAACCTAGAAGACAGAAAGACAACATTTCAGGCTTTACAAGAGTATGCTATCCTACTGATATAGATGCATGCAGTCACATTCCAATGCTGCTAAAGTACACCAAACAAATTACAAATTGCATGTGTGATTCTGTATGCACCCAGGGTGCCAGTAAGAAATCACCATAACAAAAAGGTGAGAGACTTTACCCCCTCTAATCTCAGGGAAGACACCACAACCTAGCCTAGAACTTAAATAATACATGTATGTTAAAATTATTCACACTTAGTTTCTTAGCATCTAAAAGAGCAGTTAACATGTTAATTAAGTTAAAATTACCACAGCAGATGAGTTTTTAATAGAATTCTATTTAATTACTTCTGACAAAGTGGTATCTTTTGTCCTGAGTAAAACAAACAAAACACACACAAAAACATTGATAAAATTGTCAAACCTTCTCCTCGGTGGAGACAGTTAGTTTATCACTGGAGATGAGGCTGCAAACCTGCTGCAAAGACAGACTTAGAAATTCTTCTCCTTGTACAACTTCAGAGAAATGCTGCTCTAGTAGACAGAAAAATACAGCATTACATTAGATAATATAATAAGCTAATAAGATGCAACAGCAAAATCAAATCTATGATTGATTAATGATGTGAACTTACCAGCGTATGCATGGGCCTGATTCAAAAGTTGTGTACATGTATGTAGGTCAGCAAAGGCTCTTATGCCCAGACAGTTAGAAGGATGAAGCTGTGACTGAAGAAACTCACAACAAACCTGCCGTACATCCATCAGCTGCAGCAGGCTGGCAGCTGGCAGCAACACCTAAAGATCAAAGGCATTTCAGAAACTCAATATAATACAAACCTTTTTTTGTCCTAAGAAAACGTATATGTCATTTTCCACAGGTGTGTAAAATCTATTAGCAATTTTACCTCAGTACATTGTATCCCATCTCTAACAGTCACAGATGCTAGATTACACCTTACACCACAGTGTTTTATACTTTACGTCAACTTTGATACATCTCATGATCTACTTGAGTTGCTGTACACAGCATCACCATGTTTCTAGTAATTTTAGTACAAAAGCTCAACTAAAACGTTAGCTAGGACATGAAGCTGTAGTTTTGAAATATCACTGAAGTAAGGGATAAAACATTAAAAAAAGAATCATATTACTGTTAAAAAGGGTAAAATGTACTGTATTATGCTTCTCAATTGAACATACTCTCCATGAACAGTGGGAGGATTTCCTGCCTCTCTTCATGCACATTTCCTGAACTAATAATCAGAGGAAGTGTTCTGCCTTAAGCTTCATTCTAAGGTTCATGTTGATGCATTCTTACATGACAAAACTCACCAGTCATCTCTTTTTAAAAAAATCCCTATTTAATATGACTTCACATTCAGATTACAAAAATATGCTAGTTTTAGCCATTAAAACGTTTTGTTTTCCAAAAAAAAAAAGCTAAAACTTGTTTGCCAAAAAAGCTAAATTAAATAAATAAACAAACAAACCATAATGAAACCAATAAATAAATCATATATTTCATGAGATACCTGAACGTTGTCTTCTGTAATCTCTATTTCAGCAGTATATATGTAGTCAATCAGTTTTTGTAGGGTCAATCCATCTACCTCTTGGATCTCCACCTGATGTGCTTTGCTCTCACTCATATCACCTACAGACACAGACAGAGTAAGGATCCTACAGTGGGCATACACTTCCATGACGTGCCACTGTTGAGCACCTGTACCTGTGAACATGGCACAAAAGTAGGGACTGCAAGACGCGAGGACCACCCTATGAGCTGGGACTTCAGTGCCTCCTGCCATAAGCTGAACATCACACAGCTGCTTTTTACTGGCCAAAAACATTGTAGATACAGTTTAACGTGTTACACAGTGAAGCTGAACACTGCTGAGTGGTCACATAACACAGTTATTTATCAACAGCAAACAAACCTTCTCAGCTCGTTCATCAGATGGAAGGCTTTCCTCATATGGGTTTGGTTGAAAGTGTGCATCCCACCACTTATCATGTCCTCTTCTGAATCTGTGTTGCAGACTGGACGCTGGGAGGCCTCCAGACTGGACAAAAATGTATGAAAAACTAAGCCTTTGGACACTTTTAAACCCTTTTTCACTGATGCAATGAACTCAATTTGCTCCAACTGTATCACTACAGCAGTGCAGATTACAGCTGTAAATATTAGGATGGATAAAGTTACTATTTTATCCATATTACTTAACTTGAGCGATTTCTTACGATAAAGATAAAGAAGAATAAAAGAAGACGGAGTAGTAAAGAGTAAATTGTGTTTTTAAGCATCTTGGATGAAGTTAAGTTGGCTGGCTAGCTTTTAGCAGTGCTAATGTAAAACTGGATACATTTTTAGCAGCGGCTTTGATTTTTGTTAGTGATGTTACGGACATTGTGTTAGATGTTATGCTCACTCATATATAATTCGTTCAATGTAGTGAGAACAGCAGCATTTTATTCTACGCTAAATTGGAGCTCAAAAAACAACTTAGTGCATCAGCTGAGTCGCAAAGGAAGCTAACATTAGCTTGTCTCGCTAACAAGGAGGGAACGCTAGTCGTGTTTGTTCGATTTACGTTAATTAATCGAATAATGTGAATGTTTACACATCCAGCGTATCGTTAAAGCACACTTTACGTAGTGTTATCAATAAATTCACGCAGTACTACTTATCCAACTCACCCCACAGTCCCACCATCATCGTCCATCCTCACGGAGTCTGCTCCCACTGCAGACAACCATAGAGGAAACCAATGCAGCGGGAACTGCCAGATTGTCTATTGGTGTCATGAGTCACTTTTAGTGCCTAAAGGGTGCATTTATAAAACGCATTCACTGATCATTCTTCTATAAATCTAACTTGATCCCGATCTGGTAACTTTTTTCCTACCACTTTCCCCGTGCTTCCTTCTAGCGTAGCTTTCAAAAGAGTCTAAAAATCTAGCCATGCGTCAAGTCTAGGTGACTTCTGAGATTATAAAATGAAGATACAACTGTATTTTAAGACTATCGATTTGAGAGTATCATTTGCATGATAAACGTGTTTTTGACTTTGATTGAATCCATGAAATGCCTTTCTATTGGTAAAATGGTTGCTGGCATTGTATTTTGACACAAGGACATATAAATAACAAAATTCAATTGAAAACATTAAAAACTTTAATAAAAGCAGAATAAAACAGAATGTGAACAGAACATGTTGTATAAACAATCTAAACAATAGTCTGCAATGGGACGGTAAAGAGACAAAATAAATTTACATGAGTGAAGAATTCACAAAGTTTTCAAATTAACACAATCATGTCCCACAATGCCAGACACTGCCACCAACTTTACTTAAAAACCCTGAGTTTATGATGCAACATTTAACAGATCAAGCTGGTTTGTGGCTCAACAAACCCAGTGCTAAGTTGAGAAGCAGTGACTGACTGATTTACGGCTTTACAAATAGTTTCAAAGTAAGTCTTTCCCCAACACAACACAAAATAGGACATAATAATACACAATTCTTAGTAATAAAGTCCATAATGTGTGGAATAGGAGGACAGATGTGTCCAGGTGGGGGCTCCAAGGATTCAGAGGACAGTCATTCATTCAGTGTGGGTGATGGCCTCCCGTCTGTAGAAGGAAAGACCCCCATCTTCCCACCTGATGTGTGTGATTTCAGTTCATCGTCTAATGAATCCCCCCCAAAACACAAAACAAAATCATTTTTAATAACCGCCACCAAACCCAGCCCCCCTTCCATAACCCCCAACAGGGCCGCCACCTCTGTTGTACGGAGTTGCACTCCTGTAGGAATAATTGCCCCCTTTCATGGGACCATAGCCGGAGGCCTGCTGTCCATAGCCATCCCCAAAGTCCCCGTTACTGTATCCACCTCCCATATGATTATCGTATTCACCGTAACCACCGTATCCATCGTAGCCGCCGGCCCCTCCGTATCCTCCGCCGTAACCGTAGCCGTCACCGTATCCACCGCCATAGCCTGGGCCGTAGCCGCCGTAGCCACCACCCCCTCTGCCGCCGCCATAGTTCTGCATCCCTCTTCCCCTTCTTGTCTTGGTGGCCAACTCTTGCTTGGTCTGGGCCTTCTTCGCTTCCACTTTATGACCTTCAATATCATGGTACTTGGGGATTGCAGCTTTTGTGGCGGAATCGCAGTCGCAGAAGTAAACAAAGCCGAAACCTCGCTTCTTACCGGTTTGCTTGTCAGAGATGATCTCGGCCTTCTCAACCGTGCCGAACTGTGAGAAGTACTGGGTCAAATGTTCACACTCAATATGGTCTTTGAGGCCACCGACGAAGATTTTCTTGACGTTAGCGTGAATATCAGGGTTGTTTGTGTCCTCCCGTGCAATGGCCCTCTTCAGCTCAACGGTGTTTCCATCGACGACATGTGGCTTCACCGCCATTGCTGCGTCGGCCTCCTCCGGCGTAGAGTAGGTTATAAAGCCGAAGCACCGGGAACGGCCTAGATTCTGGTTCATAACCACAACACAGTCCGTAAGGTTCCCATACTGCTGGAAGTACTCCCGCAGGCCTTTATTGTCAGTCTGAACGTTCAGACCGCCAACAAAAAGCTTACAAAGTTTCGACGACATGTCTGAATTTTGCCTGAAAGCGGTGGACGGAGATAGTCCCTCTCTTCTTCTTCAATGAAAGACGTTAGGGCGGGCCGTGTGCTCGCTCGCCTTCGTAAGACGTGTCAATCGCTGATTGGTTGTATCAAAAGATTCACCGCCCCCACTCGCTCGCTGATTGGCTGCGACCATGGTGCTTTCAAGGCAGGGGGAAACGCAGTTTCGTTTTGAAGAACGCGTGGTTTCGCCTTCGAATTCATTCATAGTGCAATAAGAGAAAAAACAAATTTTACATTTAAAAAATACAATATGGACACCACACAGGGACTAACTGTGGTTAAACAATGCATCTATCAACTTAAACGATAAAAACATGGTGTACTAGGTGTAGTAAATAGCACATTTTAGCCAACTATCACGTTTGTTAAATTTTTTTCACCACAAACTAATATTGGATGATTAATCCTGATGACTTTAGGTTCTGAGACAAGACATGTACAATATATATATTTTTGCCAAGGACACGTTGGAGCATGCAACAAAATAAACTCCAAACAACAATCATAATATAAAAAATATACATTTATTATAAAATATAAGAAATCCTGGCCAGCACGATGTCCATAAACATTGCCTACAAAGGATTGAAATTTTACTGTTAAAATCAACAAATTTGAGAAAAAGCTTTATAAAAGTGATTTCACAATCCATATATGTTACCAGCGACAAAATCATGGGGTTTTAAGTTTTAAGGGCTTACATTGTTAATTTGCAGATCTTATACAGTACTATGTGCCTATATTCCCAAACCTGGTATGATGCAAATCCAAACTAAATTTTATTCAACTACTACTATTGCTACATTGAGATTTTTAAGAGATGAAATAACAAAAATCAGCATCTGTTGTTTTTTTTTTCAGGGGTCTAAAGGAGCATTTTCAGAGAGACTATATTAAAAAAGCTGAGAATTGTTAAAGAGAACATCTTACAGATTACAGAATCGAAATCCCAATTTTAATAGTCAGTTAGCACAGGTTTGTATTTCCACTGCAAACTATAGATCCCATCTTACTTAAAAATCTGCTAACTGTACTTTACTGCTTTTTACTTAAACTGGGCACCAATTTTTATTTATTTTTTAAAACATAAATTGCAATGCTTGTCCTTTAAATTGCAATTAGATATTGTTCTAAAATGGCTCAGCCTAATTTTCAATAAAATGTTTAGCATGTATATTCATGGTTTTCAGGCATGTTTTTCTTTGAGGATTTTGCATGGTCATTCTTTGTTATAGCAATAACAGTATAATGGGTAAGGATTCTCACCAGATCTTGAATAAGGACTCATTAAATGTAAACCATGAATAGACCCAAACCTACAGTTCAAATGATTTTTTTATATGGCAATACTATCCACGTTTTCAAATCAACTGGCCAATGGAAAAGTTCATTTATAATGCAGTATTCTCATGTAATTTTCATTCTCTCCAAAATTCTTTGTTATATTCATATTTGTTTGGAGTTTACGCATTATGCTTATGTTGTGGGTGGCTCATTGACCAAAATGTTAATATTATTCTCATAAAAAATATTCATTATACTGTTTCTATATCGAAGGAAGTCAGTAATACAGAAAAAACCAAACACTAAAAAAAAATTTAATTCACAAAATAATGCCCAAAGTGCCATCTCCCTAAACATGAACCAAACTGGTTTAGTTTAAGAAACATATGCTACATAAATTCTGTACATTAGTTGTTTTGAGGCTTGTTGTGCAGAATCCCTGTAACATGGACTTCACCTGTAGTGAAGGCGGCATATTCCCTCCATTTCCTCGTTGCATGAAGACACACCCCGCCATTTGCAGAGTGATGCCCTGTATCCAGGTTACCATAGCAACCTGGGAGAAAAAGAGAGGTAAAGTGAGAAATCGAATACATGAGGGAATTACTGTGCGGACACCAAATGTATTTTTAGTGTCCCCTTTAGTTCAGGATATAAAAGGTGTGAACATACCCATCTACTTTATTAGCTACATAAATCGCAAATGACAATTTAATAACTGTAATGGTATAATAATTTGTGCACCATCTCAAAAACAACACAGAGTGAAGACAGGTTGATTTACATACCTATATTGCTGGATGTAGATATCCTAAAGAGATATTTCAGACTCCTATCACAATCGACCCCAGGTAATCAACAGGGTCCTGTAGTCTATAAAAAACTGCTACGGCTATTTTGGCTGGGGATAGCCTACTGGAATATGAGTTAGAACACCTAAATATAGGGAATAATAAAAGGTAAATAACAGCCCTCAAGTCCACATAAATATAATATACAGGAATAAATCAAGCAAACCCTTCCAAGCCTACATGCATTGGCTGTGACTACTGGTATACATGTTTCACCCACCTGAAGTTATGAATAAACTGTTGAGATTCCATTTAACTACTAATTCAAAAGGTGATATCATTTAAAGTGTAAGACCTGTGAAACAACTTAGAAGTCTGGTTAAATAAGTAAATAACTAAGCTAAGTGGTATAAAGTTTTATTTAAAATGAACATACATAAGCAAGTAGGTAAACAGGTTTTGATCTCCAGACAAAGTATACAATATACAATATATCTGCATGGAACACTAACAATATTTTAATCTACACTATGTGAATGGAACAGAATATGGGGAGTGAAGCGATCCTGCTCCTGTAATTTATCAAATGAATCCGTGTAGTGCAGTCAAACAGGTTGAAGTAGTAGAACATAACTAAAGGTTAAAGTAACATGCTTGCCCATATTGATACATTGAAACCACACCAGGAAACAAAATCTATACTACTTGCTTTAAATGCAAATATTATAAAATAAAAAGAGCTTGTCAAAAAACAACCCTACGACGAAATGCAAAAACAAGTGGCGGCAAAATAAAATTCACTATAAACGACGCCTACCCATTGTAAGCGTATATAACGATAAAAGGGATCGTTGTATTTTTTTGTGTCCTAGTTGAAACGGCAACATCTGCTTTGTCTACCAGGTTTTGGGAAGTGACCTTCCTACCTGTTTGGTCTGAGGTCTTCGTTATCATTGGGGCTCTGTCACTTTCTGCCGTGGTTTCACAGCAGAAGCCCCCATTACTGATTTTGGCTTGTGGAATCCAGATCCCGGGTAACAGATGGATGAAGGATGGGGGTGGGGACAATCGATTTCCCATTGTCTCTGATTTAATAGCCACCACCGTAGCCCCCCCTGGGGTATCCGCCACCACCACCCCCTCTGCTGTATGGAGCAGAGCTTCTCTGCCCCCGAAAGGTCCTTTCATTGGGCCATAACCGGAGTGCTGCTGACCATAGCCGCTGCCGAAGTCGTTGTAGCCGTTTCCACCCCCATAGCCACTGCCCTGGTCGCCGTAACCACCCCCATACGGCCCTCCGTAGCCTCCATAGCCACCGCCATAGCCGCCGCCATTTCCGTAGCCGTAGTTTCCGCCGAAGTCTCTGCCACCGTAGCCATTTTGATTCCCCCTCATCATGCCTCCGCGGCCTCTAACTCTGGGAGCCATCGAGCCTCGTGTAGCCTGCATCTCTTGCTTTGTCAAGGCCTTTTTCACCTCCACTTTGTGATTATTGACCGAGTGGTATTTGACCACGACACACTTGTCGGCAGCATCATGGTCGGTGAAGTAAACAAAACCGAAGCCTCTTTTCTTTCCGGTGTCTTTTTCAGAGATGACTTCGGCCTTCTCTACTTCTCCAAAAGTGGAAAAATGCTCGACCAAGTGCTCCACTTCAATGTCTTCCTTCAGACCACCGACAAAGATTTTCTTAACCTTGGCCAAAGCCTCGGGCCTGTTGGCATCTTCTCTCGCCACAGCTCGCTTTAACTCAACAGTGTTTCCGTCGATGGTGTGCGGCCTGGCCGCCATCGCAGCGTCGGCCTCCTCTGGGGACGCGTAGGTCACAAAGCCGAAACAGCGAGAGCGCTGCAGCTCCTTGTTCATCACCACGACGCAGTCGGTGAGAGTACCATACTGCTCAAAATGTTTGCGCAGACCGTCATCGTCTGTGTTGACGTTGAGGCCTCCAACGAAGAGTTTGCAGAGCTGGTCACTCATTTTTGAGAACAAAAGGATTAGTACAGGCGAGAAACCTATAAGCGAGCTCTTCTCAAAATGGTGGATGAAGAAAAACTGCTCTGCAATAAATACTGCGCGGCAGTGACGACAAACTCTTGTCTCCGCCTTTTCCGTCTACTCTCAGTTTTTTACTCAAGAGGTTGGGTTTATGCTAAAACCGCTCACGTTTAACCCTTAAAGTGTTATTTAAAAAGAAATAAGTAGGAGTCTCAAGGATATCGGTGAAGCTCACGTGGTATAGTCTTCAAATAGGAGATTCCCTTTCCATGCCAATGGTTTGCTTGCAAAACTTGTGAGATTTTATTACAAAGCGTAAATATTTTTAAAGAAATGTGTGATTTATTTACGTGGTGTATAGATTTCACTTTTATAGAATCTACACAGCACAAATGAAAAGATAAGGCCTTCTCTGAACAAGTGGACAATGGACGGGGTCACAGTGGCTGTGCATTGTGCAGCAGGAAACCAAAAGGGCCAGATGGTTACCCCCAAAGCAAGCAACCCCATAAAGGACGTTGTGTCTCATCTTTTATCAAAGGCCACACATTAGAACTTCGGGCCATAGCGTGATGGTCTGGTCAGTATAGCACAATATAAATTGCAGCACTGAGCAGAGATGATAGTGTAGTCACTACCACCTCTTTATTCATGCTTTGTATTTAAATGATGAGCCTATTACACACCAGAATAATTGAAGCTGAGGTTATACTGGCGAAGGGTTTATAAACTTGAAGTTAAACAGTTATAAGTAGCCTCCTTATGGGCCAATTCATCAAGAAACCCACAAGCCAACAGAAATAGGTTTGCAGGCTTCATATGGCTCCGGGCTACACCTTAGATACCCCCACCATAGAGGGTCAACCCCCACAACCTACACCAGACAACCTTTTGAGAACAAAGGAGAGTTTTCAGGTGAAAGACTAAACACTTACATTACATTTTCATATTAACAGAGCCGCAGTAACCTATTTAGCATCAACCTTCAAGACTTTGAAAGACAGTGTCATGGTATTTTGAATAACAGAAGATGTAAATGAAGAAGCACTACATCTCTTTTCAATTAAATCTTTATGAGACATCTGCCCATGAAACAATTCATTGCTCTAGTCTACCAGCAAACACAGGACAGTCTTTTTCTGCACAAAACCACCAAAGACACACATAAAGAAACTTGTCGATATAGAATAATCCAAATTTAACAAGTTAATAAAAAAGGAAGCAGCTTTGGAATGCTCCATCATCTTTCAAGTCAAACTACCATTTGTGCACAACTTAAAACAAAAGTATTTTTTGAAAGGGGTTAGACTTAGACCAAACAACGGACAGTTTGTAGAGGGTCAAATGACTAAAATCTTTCTACAGTTGTAGGTTCAAATAAATGAAAAAATATGAAAGGTTAGGCCTACAGAATCTATTAGAATAAAAGACAACAATCTTTAACATTAGAAATCAAATTTAACAAAAAAAGGAAGACTAAAATGCATTGAAGTACAAAAATCCCCCTATTCAGTATTGCAAGGATTACGTTCTTATTTACACAAGGGTAAGAAGTACTGACTTCCAAAGCCTATGTTGATTTAAGATTGAAACAAACTTCGGTCTGTTTAAATGCGTGGCCCTGAACAATCCAAAATTTACAAGCAACTATCTATCCTTATTCTATCATTTACATCCAAAAAAGCCTGAAAATGGCTACTGTTGCAGTCATAAAATAAAGTAAAAATGGAATCAGTCGAATCCACTAAAATATAGCATGCAGCAAAGAAATATATTCCCCTTACATTGTGTCAAGATGTCCAAATTGTCTTCACATGTTATTATAATTACTTTAAAACACTTCTAGAAAATCTGCAAAATCTAACTTATTTATTATTGTGTAATTGAACACTTATTTTTTCCACACAGTGTCCATTATTCTACTATATTTTTCAGACAATACCGATAATCCATGTATGCAGACAGACTTTCAAACTTATGTTATAGAAAAATGGCATGGAGGAAAATCTATTTCAAATACGGCCAATCTGGAGATGGCTGAGGGCTGTTAATGGGGAAGGGCATTGGATCACAGCTCTATGCGCGGCTTTCTGAGAAGGCCTTGTCACAGGTGAAAGGCAAATGGCTGTATATGATCAAAGGGTCATCCATGTGATCACATTATGTAGACTTTCTCAGCCTGAGAGAAATTGAAGACTTCTTTGGTTCTGGGGCACACCACTTTGTCATCTTGGCGAATCGACAGAAGCGACTAAAAGGGCGTAAAGATAAACCCAGGTTAACAGTGCTTATTGTTGTGATTATTTGGCAAATTAAACTTAGTCACTATACTCACATTGTAACCATAGACATATCCATTAGGCAGCATCATGGGAGGGTTGTTTTCATTCATTACTTCTCCTGAGATCTTACACACTAGTCTGGAATTGGCACAGTGAGCCATAGGAAGAGGCTGGGCCAACTTGTTTAAAGATTTACTGCAGACTGGGCAGTCTGGGTTCTTTGAGGTGCCATCCTCCTTGTAGCACTGTCTGTTGCATTAAAAGTTATGGATGTGTTTTCAAAAGAATGGATTTAAAAGTGTTTGGTCAATATGTAGGAGTAAAACTTGTATGTGAACATTTAACAAAATAGGGTGAGTAAACAACTGTACACAGGTATTAAAAGGATACGGTGTCTTAATGGCAGAAAGACCAGCCTGAAGAGTGATGGTAAAAACAGAGTTATTTCCCAACTGGTGAAGTCTGTAGTTGTCATAGCGGAACTGCTGGATCAACATCTTCCAACGAGCAGGATCCAAAAGATCCTATCAATATTGGGAGGAGAAAACACATTATTATTGATGACGGGTATGTGCGGGATATACTTCCAAGAAATCACGGCAACTACCGGTAACTTGATTTACTTATGACACCAGAAAGTAAAAGCAACGTTTGTTTTACAAATGGCTGTTTAGTGGGCATGTCCTGCCTTTCACACTACACATTAACATTCATCTTCCTGTGTCAGCATGAGATCTCCTCACCACCTCAGTCACTGACCAGCAAATGGGATTATGGCTTTGTCCCTGTGGAGGCCCGTTGTGCTACTCGAAATGATGCCGTGTGCTCCACGAACTCCCAATCTCACTCACTGGACTATTAAATCCAACAAATGTTGGCATGACATCTAGGAACATGGAGAAAAATCCCGCACACCGTCTTACTTGCAAATTGTGAAATTTATTAGGACAAACCGTGCAACATTTCGGCACTAGGCCTTTGTAAGGCATGACATCTAGGAAAATGCCCATCATCAATGCCAAAATATCCACATATGGAATGGGGACCTCAGGTCATAATGTGATCACAGTACATATACAATACTTAAAATTGTCTTAGATAAATCCAACTTTTTAGCTAAGCAGTACTTTTTGAGACACATATCTATATAGTTGTCATTATCATGTTGAACGATACTCAAGATACACTAAAACTAATATAGGAAATCAAATCAGTATGACCAATATTCCTTTTCTGAACAGTTTCAGAATGGTTTGGTCAAAATTCATAAATAGCATAAGATAATATATAATATTAAAGAAACTACTACTATTTGTATAACATTGTGTTTTTGTAATGGCAATTGTGGTATTTAGATCTAGTATCAAGCCTTTTTTTGTACTGAAATAGAGTTTGAATTTAAAATTTTCTTTTCACAACATTAACTTAAGTAATTTGTCCCAAAAGATTTGATGGCAGAACCATGCAGTGCCCTTGTTTCACAATATAATATCCCTAAGTTAAGAAACGCCATCTAGTGGTCTACTTCAGTTCATACAACACTACCTCGCAGCAAAGGCATAGACGGAATTATTCATGAAATTTTCAAATATATTCTCACATTTCTATGATAATAGATAATTAAATATTGTGGGAAATAGATAAACATGAATACAGACAAATATAATGCATTTATTTACCTTATAAGGAGAAATATGTGTATCTGATGGGAATGCAAGCATACCCATCACCTGCCGAACCTCATCTAGCTGCCCTCCTTCTGCTTGGCTGAAATGTTTCCGGGCATGTCTAAAGAAAATTTAAAAAATCCATAAACATTTTGTAGATAAGAGAATCTTTAGAATGTTTTTGGCATCATTCAATGTATGGCATTTGTGAGTTTCTCACCTGACAGCATCCATTCGCTTGTTTTGCCTGATGAGTTCAATAAACTCTTGGATTCTGAGGCTAAATTCAAGACAACTCTGGAAAATAATTATTAGTGTGAGAGCTCATTAACCAAATATATATACTTCTTAGTTACACAAAATTTTATGCATTATGCGAGTTGAACCTTTCATTATATTGTTAAGGTGGGGTGCCCTGCCAGTATAGGTGTAGGTGAAAAACAGGGATTATACCGATCTAATAATTATCCCATGCTACTTACAAAGACCAATTTTAATAGTAGATTTTAATGCTTTAACTGACAAGTACAAAGTTGAAAATTAGATACCTTCATTTTACGAAGACGAGATTTATTGTCATGACACCAAGCAAGACAAGTAGCTGTCTCTTGCCTTTCCAAGGATTCCTCCACCTCTTTTGCTGTGAGAAACATCTCAATGTTCACTAGATCCTGTAGAGAAACAAATGGAACAACAGATATTTATGAGAGAGAATGTGTTTTGTATTATTTTAATTAGAACTTAAAACATAATACGATTATCAGGCACCATGTCAATGTAGAAAAATCCTGTGTCTCATAATCTATGATCTACTATGCTATTGCAAGGTAATTTATAATTCACATGTAACATATTTTTAATTATGGCTGGGCAATAAATCACATTTGGATTGAGTCTGATTTGTCCTAGTTTTTGAACTTTTATGAATAAATATGAAGAAAAATAAAAATGCCTCTTTTTACAATATCACCAAGCCCTAAACGTAACCATTTGGTAATATGATAATTTAGTTTCACCACTACAGTGGTATCAATTAGTTATGTGAGATCCCTAATGTCCACATACTGGTATTGGGCGAAAGTATAAGCCTTTTGAACTACCTCTATATCACTCTGCCTAGCCAGTTTGACGGCTGTGTTGTAGTAGCCACAGCGCAGCAGATGCTCCACCATCATGCGATCCATGCGCTTTTTCTTCCACAGATTGACAGAGGCTGGCTGGTCACTACTGTGCTCCTTCAAATGCTCAATGCGACGTTTACACAGTTTAGCACTCTCATCTTCTGCCTGAATGGACTCCGCAGCCTTGGTAATAAAACAAATTTTATCACAATGTTCACAACACAAAATTAACAATTTTTGTGTGAGTACTTATGTGTAGTTCCTTACCTTTCTCTTGAGAGCACTAAGTTTTTCCACAACACCATCAAGTAGAGACACCACAGAATCCACCACTGGAAAGCTGCTCAGGGTCTTTTCAAGCTCTGCAACCACCATTGTGACGTGACTTGTCTCTCGATCTATGTTTTTCTGAGCTGCTCTAAAGCGTTTGTTTAGAGTCTCATAGGGCACCTGAAAAATATAATCACAGAAAATGTATTTGATTTATAATTTACATCTGCATTTCTCCATAACTGTGTGTAACACATTCAGAAATCACAGTTATCACCCTCAATATGCAGGGCTGTCTCCAAAAAGATCTCAATATAGTTACAACATTGATATCTCAAACTGTATGAAGGGACAAAAAGTTCATGTTATTAAGTTAGTCAATCTGAGTACTATGTAAAACCAACAGAGGATTTTAGTAAGATGCAATTTACACGTATTACAATTTATTAAGCCTTATAGTCAGATCTTAATTACTTATTTAAAATGCATTCAAGATGGATGGATAACAAACAAAATGTTAAATGTGATATGGGCATGCTAAAAAAAAAAAAAAAGAGAGAGAGATGCTAAATTTTTGACGATATCTCCATTATTACTGCAGCAAACGACATTATTCTAGTCAGAAACCAACTTGAGAAATGAATAAAGGGCACCATTACTAGCCAGGTTTTTAGAAAACTCTGATTACACGGAGTACTCACGGCTTGGTTTATTGTACGACGCGAACAGTCCAGACACATCTGCTTTGGGCTGTGGTGTCGCAGTAACATTATGTGCAAGGGGGACAGAGCGTGCGTGCGGCACTGGCATGAGGCTCAACAGTGCGTTTTCTCAATGGCCATTTTGAAGCTCTGACGGTCAGCACCACATGATGACATGGCTTTAACTTGAAAACCTACTTTATCATCGTAGCTCTGCAGGGCCAGGTTACCCATCAGCTAACAGGCAGCTGCAGTTCAAAGGCTTAGGGCAATGCATATTACGTGAATTCTCTATATCTAAACCCAGTGTTGTAATTAAAACGAGCCGCTATACCGACAGTCACATCTTGAATACCACTCATGCCAAGCTGTCCACACGAAATGAGCGACCATGTTGTTACGTGCACTGCCCCTTAATACAGGCGTTATAAACAACCCGATTGACAACGCGCAATTCAGAGTAATACTTGATAAATCACAACAACCGCAGTGCAGATAATATATAGAAGAACTCAGCCTCACATTTAACAACATTTTACATCACCATTTTATACAAAAAAGGAAATACAGCAGCTCTACCGTCCACACAAGGCGTAATGGCTCCCTTTATGTCCATTCGCGACATTTTGTAATTACAGTCGCTAATCTACACGCATCCCCTACATGCTTCAAACAAATTAAAGGTTAACTTTGTGTTGTCACTTCTGAAGGTCGGGTGCTTTGTAAACACAACTCGCAAACCAAGCTAAGATCAGTTATAGCTTACCTTCCTGTCAACTTCGAGATTTCTGATTTCTAATTCACATTTGGCTCAATGTTTTTAAAGTCAATGTATCATTCACGCAGACACACACTAATAAACTGTCCGAATTTGTCATCGTGTAGGTAGTTTTACCTTGAGGGTGGGATATTCTTGGACTTTGAGGGCCATAGAGAGTTGAGCTGCAGTCTCTTGCACCGCCATCTTGGCTCTGTGCTTTTGTGTTGTTGTTTTTTTCCATCTGTGAAGATGGTGGTGCTCATTAGCGCCCTCTCTTGACATGGTGCCACAGCTGGTTGTCACAAACAGATTTTTCTCATTGATTCGATATAAAATAAGAAACAGTTTTATAAAAGGTCATCACCATACAAGCTTTAAAAATGCCATAATATTAACTTATTATATTTAGCTGGAAAAAATCTAACACACATAATAAACCGCTTTTTACTGTTTTTTTAATGTGAGATTTAATTCGAGATTTTCATCATAATGTAAGAAAATGACGATAATGTTAAGAGCTTTGTTTGTTTTTAAAACTAGTATCAGTGTATCGGTGCCTAATTTCAGCCATTCTTTTGCTACACATGGATTGTTATTTTTGCATGTAGTCTACTGTTTCTGACCCTCTTGTAGGAGACGAGTTCATCCATTTAGATATTGTTCTGACTGCAGTTTACTGTCTGCATAAATCTAATGTGCTCTAGAGCCTATGCCTCTTTTTGCATTTGAGATGCATGCATTGGCTCAGTGCTTACAGCATCGTATGAGTCTGAATCTTGCTACAACAATTACAACTTAATTGAATGTCACGTCACATGGGCATGTGCATGTTTAAGCAGCTGATGTTCACCCTACACACTTTCAAATGAAGGCTGTGATTGTGTATGTGTGTAAATGTTTGATAGAAATAGCTGCAGGTCGGGCTGCTGTCAGCCCTGATAAGGCCAACAGTCTGAAGTCGTTTGTGGGCACTGCTGCATGGCAAGCCTCCACTTTTGCTGAGAAGAAGCTGAACCATTAGGCACACCACAGTGACTGGAGGGTATGCTAGAGCAGGAAGACAGGAAAACAGAGTGAATTTAAAAAGACAAGGGAACAAAGAGGAGCTAGAAAAGAAAAAAGAAGAAAGACAGGTGAAAGTAAACTGCAAGTGACACATGAGAGATGTGCAAACAGATAAAATATAACAAAGTGTTCAGCAGCAAAGACAAATCATCAGTAGTCACAAATCACATAGTACCCAATGCCTACATATCATTCAGAATGGTATCTCTAAGTGTTCATATGCAAAAAAAAAAAAAAAAAAAAGCACCAGTCAGAATCTCTATACCTCTTTAAGACACCAAATAATGTGTGCTTATTTTTGAGGGAAAATAGATGATGGACCTCAATGATAAATGTGTCAGCACTTTAAAGTTGACTTTTTAGATATTATTGAGGTAAAAACACAAAGTTGCTGTATATTCCTATGCATTATTCATTCAGTTCACACTGTGGTGGTAAGCTTCTCCAGTTTATTTATTTATTTTTCTTTTATGTCAAGCTTATGACAGTAGTTATAGGTATACAATATTTACAGCTACATGGTAAAAGATGACATAATAGGTTTGTTTTGTTTTCTTACATAGCTGTTTATACATACAGACACACCTAAATATTCACAATACAGTGACAATTGTAGTTCAAAAGGGAGTGGGGGTAAGAAAAACTTAAGCCACAGCTGCCCTGGAGCAGACTGACAGATGCAGGGCTGCCAATCTGTGCCATTTTTCCCTCAGACCACCACCATCACACACACACAGATATACACATGCACACACACACACACACGCGCACACACACGCGCACACACACGCGCGCGCGCGCGCGCACACACACACGCACGCACACACACGCGCACACACACATACACACACTCACACGCACACAAACACACACAAACACACGCACACTTGCACACAAACACACACACGCACACACATACACACATGTGGGTGAAGGGCCTTGCCTAAGGACAGAACGACTGTGGCACTTGGTGTTACTCCTTTCCAAGTACTTGCTTGCTGCTTCTGAGATCTGACGAGACCATACTCTGACAAGCTGATATGGCCACCAAACAGGTTACTCTTAAGAGAGTTACAATAACCTACATGACAGACAACTGGCACTCCAAGGTTAGCAGTGCTCATTATTATTAAAGCATTCACAACATAACTTTTCTGGTAGAGTGACTGCTACCTGTTTGCCTCCATTGAGATGTTACTGTTTTGTGGTGCCGCCAGCAGAGCCACCACGAGGCAGGCAAACTTGCTTAGGGCTACAGAGGGCCCTGGTAGACACAAACAGTATTGCAAAAGTTACAACTGTTGTGAAAAACAATAACAACTTTCCTCCCAAGGGGCCCCCAGTCCCCCTCTTAAGGTACACGAGAAACTAGAGAAATACCAGGGTTTCAAAGAAGAGTTGGAGAAGACCTGGAAGGTAAAGGCATTAGTGGTGCCCGTGGTGATTGGAGCACTCGGGCAGTAACCCCCAAAACTGGATGAGTGGTTACAGCAGATCCCAGGAAAGCATCAGACATTTCAGTCCAGAACAGTGCAGTACTAGGAACAGCAAAGATACTGTGCAGAAGGGTCAAGCTCCCAGGCCTCTGATAGAGGACCCGAGCTGAATGAGACTACCTACCGAGGGTGAGGAAAACATTTTTTTTTATAGTATATATAGTATTTTGTAATGGCAAAAAAAAAATCAGACAAAGTAATAAAATGTCTTGTCTATGAAGACAAGCAAGAGGAGGACCCTCCGCCAGAACAGTTACATATATCGCACATTTAACTATTAAGACGTTTTGAGCTCAATCTACTTTGGGATCCCGACAGCCTCAGCATTTACCATCAGACAGAAATTGATGTAACTGTATTTACAACTAAACCAGTTATGACTGAGCAATGTTCCATCATAATCATGTGGTAGAACCAAAGATACCATCAAAACTCAGTAGAGGGAATAAAAGACAAGATTACAAATTAATTTATTTCAATAAAATGTGCGTAAGCAAGCAGTAAAAAATAATACAAACAGTTCAGTATGTTAAAGAGGAAAAGGCTAAAACACTACTGAATACTGCATTTTTGTATAGGAATTTTGTTGCTGTGATGGCTCCTCTTGTCGCTTAACACTGTCAAGTATTCTGAAATTAAAAATTCAGATGCTGTCAAAGGTAAACTTTCTGCACCATGTTTATAAAACATGTAACATTCAAAATTTTAAAGATGATTTCATATAAACTTACTTTTAGGACAACTTCTGTAGCCATGAAAGTATCCAGGGTCACTAAAATGGTTTATAGTTGGTTAAATATGAACAGTGTCATACACGGTTCATATTTAAAGGTACAGTGTGTGATTTTCTGAAGGTGGCTTTTCACCTCCATGGAAACAAGCAGGAGAAGGCCGTCCTCCAAGCCAAATAAGAATCAAGTTTGTGCAGAAGCAGTGCAGTAAAGAGGGTTTTATTAAACATGCTTTTATTTAAATTTTTTGGGGGGCAGTGGGAGCTGAAAGGTTACGTACTGCGGCTTTTTAAAACAAACATTTAAGGGGAGTTAAAGTTCACCTGTAGCAACAGAAACTCGTTTTTCCTCTCCTCATTGTAATTGCATAACTTTTTTTCTCCTCCCAGTCGTTCTTTCAGGAAACAAAAGCTGAATTCTGTCCGCCCTTTGCCCCTCCCCATTCCTGCTCTCTCTTTTTCACACACTCTGCTTTTCTCCACTGTATCATCCCTCAGATGTCTCTCTTTACATCCTGGTGCCCCTGCTTGATTGTAACACTGCTTTCATTCTCCGTGTGGGTACTTTTTTGCGAGACATGGGTAGAAGGACTAGAAAGACTTGCTGTAACAAAAAGTGAGAAGAGGAGAGGAAGGGAGCTTGAGATAGGGCCGAGGGAGGGGTAAAGCAGATCGAGAGCGGGCGGGCGAGCGGCAGGCAGGAGGGGGAAGAGAGAGAGAAAAGAGGGGGAGCACATGTGTATGCTTGTCACTAAGGGGCTGGGAGAAGGACTAAGGGAAGCGAGGTAGCTGGCCATAGCCGCCATATGCTGACTGGATTCCTGTTCATGTGTGCTGCGAGAACACTGCAGTTTGCGTAGTGCGCTGGCTGGCCGGGGAACACACCATGGGAAGCTCACATCTCCTCAACAAAGGCATGCCTCTAGGTAAACATGTCGGCTTTTATGTGGTGTGTGCGCGCCGGGGACCTCTGCATGCATGTGCGCGCCTTCCAATATTTGTGAACTAAGTGTACATTATTCTGCCATGCTCTCCCCTCCCCCTCCCCTCTCTCTCCCTCTTCGTCTCCTCCTCTTTCTCCTCTTAATTCTGCCAGTCTATTATCTTTCACATCAGCCTTCCTCACACCACACCGGAATGGTTAGCCTTTACTCCACCTCCGATCTGTGTGCATGTGTGTATGTGTGAATAGGCAAATATCTGCTGTTGAAGCCTGCTCAAACACATCCATTTGTAGAGACAGAAATAGATCTCTACTCACTCTCCTTCCAGAGCTAGCGAGGACATGACACATATTTCCTTTTCATTGTTGGTCATTTAAGAAAAGAGCATTTACACATTTAGAGGAACTGGGACATGCGCGCAGAATATGCACAGGTGAGGGAGGGATGTGATTTAAGATATGGGAAAAAGACTATTCCAGAACATGAGATCAAGGTAGGGTTGCAAAGATACAAGGGAGGGGGGTGGAGGTTTGGGTGTGGAGCAGGAGGTGGGTGTGAGCAAACATGATGATGGTCTGTAGTCACCTGAATGAGAATTTCTTATTAGACATGTTTTTGAAGATTGCTCATTCTGTGATGTCATCAACAGGCTGCGAGACGTGTGTTTAGATGACATCAAAGATTAAACTGTATATTAAACTGTTGTATTCCTTCCTATTTCAAGAAGTTCATATCCATATCCAATTGAACTCCTCAAGTCCAAGGTCACAGGAAATAAAGGCTATAAATTATGAGTGAGGAAGCATTGCTCGTTGTACATTTTAGAATGCAAAACATGGGATCCCATCAGCTGCTGTATTGATCTTGTGATTGTATCAGTTTCAGCTCCCAGTAAAGAGTGCTGAAGCTTTAAGAGCTGTTAGAAAGTGCCTTTGTCAGTCCCTGTGATTGAAAGGCTGATTTATGCTTTAGCTGAGAGAGGCTCTGAAAGACGGCATGTTTTATCTGAGTATTGAGGTGCTTCATAAGTGAAATATTCCATTCTGTTTATCAAATCTCATCTCATCATGTGCAATTAATAAATTTTTAATTGAGATCAAGATTCAATCAGTTCTAATCTCCAATGATATTCTTAGTTCTTTTGATGTGGTCCACACTCTATCCTCTGTCAGTACACGCATGTAGTTTGGAATTCAGACTTTGAAGAATTTAGAAATTTGACATTTTTGTGTTAAATGGCACTGATCAAAATGTGTGTGGTTTATGTTCAGGAAATTAATATTGAAAATTATTTTTCTTTTTTGCTTTAATATGACAAGGAGTGCTATTTTGTAACATACTGGCCAGCTTTAGCTACCAGACTGATACCATGAATGATTGCTAGGACAGGATTGAGAACAGAGACTGGATAGGTACCTGTCTATCAGCCTTTTGATGAACTGGCTATATCTACAGTGGCAGCCCAATTATAAATATTAAACGCTGAACATGTTAAAGTCCAATATTTGAGAACACATTCCACTGAAGACACCATGAGTAAACTAGTACAGAAGAATTATGATGTCAACAGACCGCAGAAATAACAGGCCAGACAGGGTCACATCCCAAAACAATACTTTAGAATAAGGCTATAATTAACATGCGATCCACAAAGACATTATAGATGTTCTGTCATTTATATGTCATCAGTTTGTCTTGAATCATTTGTGGTACTATGTAGTTAAGTATAAAAAGCTTGGGCAATACTGATAAAGTAGACACTACTCTGAGCAAATTTAAACCTATTAAAACCTGCTAAATATATGATCCACTTACCTCAAGAATCATGTCCCTATAATCTATTAAACATTAAGAACCCAATTCAATTGAAAGGGTAACTGGCCCCATCATATAACAGCTAATCCGCCCACATACAGTAAGCCTGTTAAAGCATTTATAGATCTTTTGTTCCCTAATACATAATTTTCAACACTTACTAAATCACAAATGAAAAGATCAAACGTAATATTCATGTTATATAGTCACATGTATGAAGCAGTAAGTCTTTTCAATGGCTGCTGCCTAGCTAAGTATGTCTTCATAATTCTATTATACTGTAGAGTTTAGTGCTTAGACTGCTACACTGTGGGATTCTATATGGTTTTATTGAATTATTGATTCATGTCTTGGCTACATTAGTCATTGTGATTGTTGCATCAAATTCTACAGCTAATTTTTCACTTTGCATTTCTCCATATAACAAGAAGATAAAAGTCAATGTTATGTAATGAGTAAAGAGAGTGGTATTGTATCATACTGGTCTTGTGTGGGCACCCTGCTTCCCCACACTATCTAGCTCATGTCAGCTTGCACACATCAGAGAGGGAGCGTGCACTTCTAAATCTTAAAATGTAGGTGGGGCAGTGTGTGCGTGTACAGAGGTGGTGCTGCTGATAGATGCTTTCTGTCTTCTCACGTTTCTTTCCTGGGAATCGACTGTAGCCAGGAAGGGACTGAGGCCATGTGAATGAGCACAAAACAAAGCAGCCAGCTAGAAAAAACACTACTGATCAGACAGGGCATTTTTCAACACTACTTGGGAAATATAAAAATCTGCCAGTAGGATTCAACAGTGCAATTATACACGGGAAAATGAAAGAAGACATGTGACTGTAGATAACAGTACGGTGAGATTCATCCTAAAGACAAGGCCGTGTAGCCGCATGCCAACAGAGTCAGTGGCATAACAAATCTGCTGTGTTGGGCTTGATGGCTGGCTGCGTCGCCTACGAGTGTCTGACTTATCACAGGTGTCGCTAGCATAGCTCTTCTCACTTCCCCCAGCTTCTTTCCTCTTTAGATTTCTAAAATAACACTGTATGACTGCAACCACATATAGTGTGCACTTTCAGATAAAAAAACAAGGTTTATTGTGTTTGATCCTTTCAGCCAGTATTAGCAAAACACAACAAATTATGAGCTATAGGCAGTCTTGTAAAAATAAAATAATCTAGCAAGTGACTCACTGATTCCACTGATGTTGTCAAAATCTGATATTTACGTGTTTGGATATATTTTTAGCTTTCAACCAACCTCAGTAAAAAGTAATGTTCTTAGCTGATCTACTTCGTAATATTGCAAAAGTGAATATAAATAATTCAAGTGTACTTTAGGTTGTGTCTTTTCTCCTGCCATGTTTATATGAAAAATAAAGACTTGCATGTTTTGGCACATAACCCAGTTCAAATTTGGCAGCCTTCCAAGCGACAAAATACTGCACTTCAACACTGTCTGGATTGAGTGACAGATCCAAAATGTTGCTTAAATCCTCCAGGACCAGTTCCAGCTGTTCTGGTGTCAGTGATGTGGCCCGCCTGTGGACTGTCCCATTCGTACGCAGCACTGCCAACAGTCAGCAGCAGATGCTTTTTCCATCTCCAATTGTCAGTCAAATTTTCACGGCATAATTTCAGCCTGATCACGAGGGGATTTAATTTCCTCTTTACTTAGAATCCTCTTGAAATGTTAAGATATTATGTTATGAGGCTCATGTTGGGTAAAACACTCAAGTAGCAAGTTAATATGTCTGTTTGTCTATTAGCAAAGTAGAAAAACATTGAAAAGTTCATGTACTCTTGAATTTGTCGAGACCTCAGTAGTACATCCTTACTGTTGTGAGAGGAGGGCTCTTGCATTGTGCGATAGTTAGACTCACTAAGTTAAAAGAATAATATCATAATTCAAGGGCTGAATAGGAGCTGTTTGCACACCTGACATGGACAGCTGTCTGCAAACTGATATGAACTCAATGTGAAATGTGCTTCCATTAACAGAAACAAATAGAGCTCCCCATAGTCTAATTTTCTCTATTAAAAAAAAAAAACTAAACTCAAATAAACTCAAATATACACAGAGCAATAAACTTGTATGCCAAATAACCTTTAGTTTTTTTGTAAAACATAAGCAACTATAAAATGTAACAGTAAAAATGGCACTGGTTGTAACTACACTGATTAAAACACAGAAGATAAGTAATGTTTATTGTAAAAATTATTGAATAATTGCTAGTGTAACTATAGTTTAAGTAGAAATCTGTGGGAAACTTATAGATCCACAACAATGGATTAAGACAAAGTTAAGTGAGTTATTTCAAAACAACATGATATTCATAGAAAGATTTGAAGGTGACAGCTACTTTCTCAGCTGTGGTATTCAAAACAAGAGAGGATTAAGTAATTACAATGAAGCGCCCCCACACACTAATGCTGAGTAGGAGAGAGTGACAAAGGCAGTTTGAAGTGTGAGATTTTTATCACACAGCACTAGTCAGTGGCAGTTTAGGGGCTGGTCCTCCCAAGGTCATGCATGGGACTGGAATGATAGTTATTTCCTCCCTCAGCAAAGGACATGTAGTAGAAATATCAAGAATTCCACTAGAAAATCTCAACCACTCCAAATACCACTTTCCCTCACTGGAGAAATACTGTCTCTTAATAATTCCACACAACATGGTGCAGCGGCTTGAATGCGATTTCACATCTAGAGCAAAATGAAATAGTAATGCTGAGTGTGCAGTGCAGTGTGGTGCAGCTGCAATAGGAAACTGTTATTCATGAATACATCTGATTTGCAATGGACGCTGTTGAAACCTACTTCTGTGCTCGCATTGAATTCCTATTTCTCAGTTATGCACCATTGATGTTGTATTGATGTGTAAGTGCAACGGCCTGCAGGCAAACCCTTTTATGGAAAGCTAATGTTTTACCAGACCGCAGAGTGCATTGTTAGCAAGATTTAAGTTTCACCTTATTGGTCTTACAGTGCTGTTCGGACTGCGTTATCAGATCAAGTTACATGCTGTAATATGTGGATAAGACGACAACGCAGAAATTGTGCACTGTGCCTCTGTGTGAGGTAAAGTCAGACAAAAACAAGAACACAGAAGATTGAGCTTTGGAGATGTAGACAGTAGTAGTAGTAGTAATAAAATATTATTCAAACATATGTGAATGAAACAAAACAAAAGGTAGCTAAAGTAAAGTAAAGGTAGCTGCATTACAACATTGCTTAAAACTCACAAAAGTACATTTTGTGTAATATGGGACATTTTACTTCAAAATGGCAATGATTACAGAATACTTTTAGTACCACAATACAGCATTTGTCAAAGACTGCGTGATACAAATTAATTCACCTTTTATTACCTACACTTGTCTGTTAAACCAAGGTCCACACTCATTGTAGGGTCATTTGTTGAATCTACTTGTTAATTGCCACTTACCCTTGAGTATGGCCTTAGCCGCTCTCTATGGGTGACTGCATGATGTAAAGAAGTGGTTTTATAAAGCTGGCTCAATGACTTACTCTTCATTCAATTTCTTACTTCACTGTCTGCTAACCTTGGGCCTGGTCTGTCACGTCAAGCAGCCCAATTAAGCTGTAAAATATCACATCTGTGTTGAGTGCTTAAATATTGGATACACATATAGCTGATTATTTTAACCTTGTCCAGTCATTATGGGTCACACACTCGTTCATTGCATCACCAACAGTATAGATACAGAACTCCCTTTTTACACTACACTACAACAAACCAAATATTTTTACTATCAATACCAGAAAACAAAGCTGCAAAAGTTCTGTCATCTTCTCATCTCAGACACATGGTTACTCCAGGAATTTTTTCAAGATCACACAAGGCTACAGTCACCATAGCAACTGCATCAGCCTAGAGCAGAGATATTATGGGATGCAGATTAGGCAAGTGTCCTCTGAGTCCAGCGGCAACTCTCACAAGTGACAAACAACTGATGATATGTGACACTTGAGCAATGCTGGAAGTCAGAAAGTCTTTTTATACCGAGAGAGGGACAAAAATACTCTTGGATCGAGGATCAGTCTGTTAAGCATCCAAGTGCTGCAGACACACGACACAAGCTGAGAAAGAGATATAAACAGAGGTTGATGCTTATTGACAATATGCACACTTTGACATTCACCAGCTTTAGATAAAAGCAAACTGGGTAACATCAGACTTTATGATACTACAATAACAACATTTCCTCACTTTTTTTTAGGTATCAGGCCACCCATCATGAATGGGCCTATGCACCCCCGCCCACTGGTGGCACTGTTAGATGGACGGGACTGCACAGTAGAGATGCCAATCCTCAAAGATGTAGCAACAGTGGCTTTCTGTGATGCCCAGTCCACACAGGAGATCCACGAGAAGGTATGCTCCGCCTGATTTTTTATTTTCTAACTGGGCAATATAAATCTTGATTTAGCTACAAATTATGAAATCGAGAATGAACAAGCCTAGGTCAGTGTATATCAGTCCCTGTGGACTGTAAGTGGGTCTGTGTGTCTGGCAGGGTTATGTCTTGTTCTGGGTGACTGCCAAGCAGGCCCTCTCTGTGAGCACGCTCAGTAGGCCACAGCGTGGGAGAAACAGATGGCTTTGGCTCAAACACCAAGCTCTTGTCCTCTTAGTAAATGCTGTCTCGTAAGAATCGCCATATTGTGTAATTAAACAGCCTTTACAGAAATAATCCATACATGTAAAGAGTATAATAGGCGGTATGTATGTTTTTTTTAATCAAATAAATACAAATTAAATAGGGTCAGAAATTGTCTGGAAACACAAACAATAACCAGATGTGTATTAATGTAATCTTAATATTACTAAACAGCACATGAAAGCATGAAAATGCAATCAGTGAACTGACTATATGACAAAATGTAGTTGCTCATTGTAGTAGTGTTTTGCACAACATCTTTGAAACGGTGTGTGCCCAGGTGCTGAATGAAGCAGTAGGGGCACTTATGTACCACACCATAACTTTAATGAGAGAAGACCTGGAGAAGTTTAAGGCTCTGCGCATTATTGTTCGCATTGGCAGTGGCTATGACAATATCGACATCAAATCTGCAGGGGAACTGGGTGAGAGCACAGCACACTCTCTCAACATCAGCAGTGATAATCTAGGAGGTGTTAGGCCTATTTGCTCTTAAGTTTTACTTTTTGCATCATATTTCAATTAATACATTTCACTAACAATAGCTGACTGAAAACTGTAATTACATATTCAAACACTGATAACAACACACAGTGCATGGCTTCAAAACTGTCTTTCTTCAAACCAGTAGCTAATCCTGTTGTCTGTGGACTGCAGGCATTGCAGTGTGTAACATGCCAGCAGCATCGGTGGAGGAAACTGCAGACTCCACACTGTGTCACATCCTCACCTTGTACCGACGCACCACCTGGCTGCACCAGGTTTGTTAGCTCTGAATGACTAATCATTACAGACAGTTATTCATTGTAATGTACTGAAGCATTACTGAGATCTGAGGGCCTTTGTTTTGTTAGGCTCTACGAGAAGGTACGCGGGCCCAGAGCGTGGAACAGATACGAGAGGTGGCATCAGGAGCAGCCAGGATCAGAGGAGAGACTCTCGGCCTCATTGGTCTTGGTGGGTAACAAACTGTCATTGTTATTAATATTGTATGAATGTGGTGTGTACGTGACTGTTGGTCGGAGGGGATGATGGCGCAGATTGGTGGCCTATTTTCTGTCAGTCTACCCCAGGGCAGCTGTGACTACAATCACCAAAAAGTGTGGACTGAATGAATAATGCACTGCAAAGCAATTTAGCTTAGCTTGAAAGGTACTATATAATTCCAAAGCTTAATTAATTAATTAATTAATTAATTAATATTATTGAATACATGGCATTACAAATTTACTAAACTATAACTGGCATTTTAATTCAGCCAGTTACATGAGCAGATGAGGGAACTTCTTATCAATATCCCTGCTGTCCCTGTGAAGTCTCTTCAGCAATAAAAAGAAAAAGAATCTCGATCAGTGAGAGTTGGAGTTGCTTAGAGACTATTGTTGTCCAGCTGTCAATGAAAACACAAAACTGATCGAGCAGAATAGAGCAGAAATCGAACTTTGTGGGGAAATCCTATGTTAGCTGTTTAGCACCGATGAATGCAAAAGTGTGTAACAGTAAGAAAAAAAAGTGTAACATGCCTTTGTAATCCCCATTGTAGGTCGAGTGGGCCAGGCGGTAGCACTGCGAGCCAAAGCATTTGGCTTCAATGTGATATTCTATGACCCTTACTTAGCCGATGGAGTGGAGAGATCACTGGGACTACAAAGGGTCACTACACTACAGGTACACACTGAAAATCTGGAGGCCACTTCCCACTGACTGTCAGCATATTATCATGATTCTATTATCTGAACTACAAAGCTGGATAATAAGGTTACATACATAGATAATATTGCCTTAACCGCATGTTTTCTTTTATAATGTAATAAAATGTAATTGCCTCACAGTGAGTGTTGTCTCCCTCAGGACTTGCTCTTCCATTCAGACTGTGTTTCCTTGCACTGCAGTCTCAATGAGCACAACCACCATTTGATCAATGACTTTACCATCAAACAGGTAACGCACAAATATGATGTCAAGATGAAGAAAAAAATAATTCATTCTCATCTAATTATTAAAACATTTTTGTGAGACAGATGCGTCAAGGAGCATTTCTGGTGAACACTGCGAGGGGGGGCCTGGTGGATGAGAAGGCCCTGGCCCAGGCCCTGAAAGAGGGACGAATACGCGGAGCTGCTCTAGATGTTCATGAGTCCGAGCCCTTCAGGTAGTCAATGGAACAAACAGTCAAGTGTGAACAAAATGGTACAAACAAAAGATTTCTGTCAGTTTCAGCCAGGGTCCACTTAAGGATGCCCCCAACCTCATCTGCACCCCGCATGCAGCATGGTACAGCGAACAGGCTTCGCTCGAGATGAGAGAAGAAGCAGCCAGAGAAATCCGAAGGGCTGTCACTGGTAAGACCAACATACTGATATTTATACAGTGTCCTGTTATGCAATGAAAAAGGCTCTGTGAAAGGATGACTACAATGCTTTTCCATTAGAGCCTACTTGAGTACAGGCATAAAAGCAATAAAGCAAAGGCATACCTGTTCTGAGAAAGCTATAGAGTTGTATTCATATGAAACCAATGATGATTTTAGGATGCTACATATTAAATCTAGTGTTCATTCATTATAGAGTGATAAATATATTCACCATCAGCAGACCGAGCAGCCTATCAGGTTGTTGGTCAGTTCTTTCATGGACATTTTATGTAACTTCCCAGTAATGTTAAGCTTGTAATGTTGAGCTTTCAACAATAGATGTGGTAAAGAGGGTATCACATCTGAATGGCTTACGCTGGCATTCTCCTGCGCAAGATGTTCAACCTGAAACTTTTCTTTCTCTCACCTGTTTAGGTCGTATCCCAGACAGTCTTAAAAACTGTGTGAATAAGGAGTTTCTTTCGCAGAATAACCATTGGACAGGAGTGGACCCTGCCACTGTCCACCCTGAACTCAATGGAGCTTATAGGTAAAATCTCAAGCATGTTTATATGCAAGAACACAGATACTATACTGCAGATCTAGGCCTCACTGCAAGAATTCTTAACTTCTCATTCAAGGATATTGGTGCTTCCACATTGCGTAGGTATTTCAACATTGCAGAGGCAATAGCTCCGACTGTTAAATCAAATTTGTGTAGCGTTTCAAGTTTTTTGAATACAAATAAAAAACATTAAATCAGAATGTTTAACAAATGAAATTATTATATTAAACTCACTCTATGTACAAACTCTGCTTTGTGCTATACCTCATAAATGTTCTCATTTGCCAAGTGGTTTTTGCCTGTCCTTGCAGGTACCCCCCAGGAGTGGTGAGCTTACCTGCCGGAGGGCTTCCTCCCCCTGTTGAAGGCATTGTGCCCAGTGCAGTGCCCATCACACACACTCTGCCTCCTGCTGTCAGTCACCCTCCACATGCACCATCACCAGGACAGAACACTGTCAAGCCACCAGAGGGAGACAGAGAGCAGCATCCGAATGACCAACTGTAGCTACCTTCAAAAACACAAGCTTGGCGGGTTGTCTGGTGACCAAAAGATCTGTGCATGAATACGGCAGCAAAGATCAAATTGACAACTTGCTATCTAACAGTGTCAGATCCCAAGATGTCAAGCTCCAAGACGATGATCCAAAACCAACTTGCAATTTGCTGCAAGCAGACTGTTTACACTCCAAAGAGGAGAAAGAGCAACACACGGAGACACCCGGAGATAAAACTTTACTCAGCCAGAAGATACAAACCTATGCGTCAATGTGGAAATCAAAAATACTGGATTTAATTCTACCGTCTTAGACTGCCTGTCCAAAGTTATAGGGGCATGTTTCATGTCTCCTCTTCACGTGTCACTTCCTAAGTTCATGTACAAGTAGTAGGTTATGAAATGAATGTAACCTGTTTGTGTACAGTTAGACATGCAGCAATGAAATACAGGTAATTGTATTCAAGTCTTAACAAAAACCATAGGTGCATTTCCTCTATGTAGCCACACTGGTTTTTGAATACAATATCTGATTTTAAGTGTCCCTGGATTAACAAGGCCCCAAAAGAGGCAGCTTTTGCACACCTTCTCAGGAAATTAAGTTTCCGCAGTTGGTATTATTTGTTTAGTTTTTGGTTTTTTTTAAGGATCACTTTTATGCCACTTAGTGCTTCTGTTTTCTACCTGCTTGCCTTTGTGTGCTGCAACATTAGAAGATTAACTTTGCCCATATGTTTTGGTTAAAGAGCAAGTGATTTCGCTCTTGGGACATGTGTGTAAATGTTTGATCCAAATTGTTGGACTGTGGGAGGAAAGGCTAAGGTCAGTCACAAAATGATGTGCTTTGCAGGATAAACAAGATTAGTTACATGGTTACAATTATAAATAATTCAATCTTGAGACCAGGGCTTCCTCTACTAAAGAAGAACAGGCCAAGGAGCAGTTTAGTACAAAGGCAAGGATGACATTTTACATCACATTTCTTCAGTGTATTATTAAAACTGACATTATACATTTCTGCTGTAAAACAACACTGACTTAGTGAAAACTAAACTGCACTTCCTGTTTGGGTAAAAATGGATGAGTGAAAATTCAAACAAAATAGTTGAACTGAATGGTTCTGCACAATGTAGTAAGACATACAAAGTATTCCTTTGAAATGGGTCCAGCTTGAGTATACCATTTAGCCACCCTCTGTGGCTTCTGTGTCTATGTGTACATATGTACTGCCTGCCTGTGTCAATGTGACTTGGTTGTATCTGTGTCTTTAAAACAGCTCTGGGAGAGGAGATGAGGACCAGTAGGCGCCCAAGCATGTTATGTTTATAAGACTGCCATTATAAAACACTACACTGTAATAGCAGTAATGACATTTTATACGTTCAACGTGTATGTGTTCAACTCATGTTTAGGCTGTTTTGACAACATGACAGTGCATCCTGGTTCCACTTCTCCCAGCAGCTGAGTAGTAAAACAGTTTACTGTTGCCTACCTAGTCTTGTTGGTGAGGTAGTATGTGTAACAATCAGGGATGGACATTTCATTGGCTCAGTATTTCACAAGTAATGGAATCAAAGCATCAGTGAAATTAATGTGTTGAATATTGTTAGCCCCAAATCCTATACAAATATGTTGGAGAATGTAAAACTTTGTTCATAACCCACCATGAGTGACCATAGAAATGAACTACTACTGATAAGCAGCACTGCCCATAGAGATAACTCATATGAACTGCATTCCTGATTCAAGCCAGTGTGTGCCAACGCAAACGTGTCAAAGAACTGCATGAAATTCTATCCCTGGAAGTAACACACAGTCCACTGTTGCCTACTTTGGTCCCCTTTATAGTTAGGTAGTAGGCGTAGCAATATACAGTATACATATTATATTCTACAGTAAATATCATTATTTTTGGTCAAGATTGACAAACTGACAAAGATATGTTTGTGACTGTATGCATTTGTATGAATTATTTTAAAAAATAAACTGTGGAAGGTTATGTGTGTGTCTTTTGCCTAGAGATTATTTTTGTTTTAGGAGTCTCAGTCACTATTTCCCAGAGGCTTCCACATGATGGAGCTAGTAGAGTTTCTATGCTGAATGGTGCAAGCGTAGGCAACCCTGTGGTCAAGTTAAGTGTACTGCATAAATTATTCTGTAATGAAGATATTTTTGATCACTGTATTTCTAAGCCAAATATAATCATGACACTGATAAACAGTTGAAATTTATGACGTAAATAAACTGAGAACTCCATTGTTCTGAGTGGTTCAGAATTTGGTGCTAGTTCACACCACTAACTTCTGACATTAAACATTACAAATTTGTACCTGTCTTTATCTTTGCTCATACACTTATTTCCCTTTTTAATAGAAAGCACTAGGTTGATTTTCATTCACCTCTGTTTCCTCCATTCAGTATTACTCCACACCAGCTGGAAACTCAGAGTCAAGCAAAACCTCAGGAAGCAAATGGAAATCAGATGTAGTCAACAAAAATGGGCAGACATGGTTTTAGATGAAGCACAGAGACCTCCAAAAAGCTCCAAGAAATCAGCTACGGGGTAACATCAGATTGGATCTCTGTGTTTTGGTAATAAGGTAATGCATGATTTTAAGTAGTAAGAATAGAGAGTGAAGTAGACCAAGGACCAGTGTGGTTAATGTTGAAAATAGGCACTGTCAGATCTGACCTAGAATGTTGCATGTTTTGATTTCAGATCAGGTCTTGTAATATTACTTTCTCTATTTAAAATAAATGGAACAACTGAGTACTGCAAAGGAAACTCCTAAAACTAATTTGTCTTAATCTTTCATAGTGTCACAGAAATGTTCAAACTGACTTCTCAAGGGTGTACATGGGAATCTCATAAAGTATACACATATGTTTTTCTCCTCCATTTTACAGAACATATAGAACACATATAAAGAAATATATAGAGATGGAAATGAACAATAAAATATGGTCTTCAGTAACAATTATGTTGAATACTTCAGTAATGCATGTATACTGTTGTGGCAAAAATTATATATCTGTTGAAGATAAATAATGAATCCATTTGCAAAGCCTGATGAGTTTTTCGAATATAGACCAAGGTTTATTCTTGTTACAGCAGATATGGACAGGGACTAAGCCTGTTCTGGCCAAAGTCCAACAGCCTCTCCCCAACAGCAGTATGTTCCTACTACATCTCCCACCGTATCTCTCAATGTTGCAAAGCACCAAGTTTATATAGCCTGAGATGACCAGATGACATACATTTCAAAGTGAGAAGGTGACAACTCCTACTGAGGTGTGGCCAGATGTGCTTGATCTGATTTGCATCCATATTCACTTGCATTTGTCACTTCCTGACATGATTAGCAAGCAAAAGGGAACAGAAGTATTTACATTGAAGGGTCTTTCTAACAAGCCAAATGAGTTTTAATTACAAGACCAAATGTGTTTCTAAAAGATAAACTAATCACTATTTTAATGTAATCAATCATAATCAATATTTTCCTGTGGGGGTCTGGAAATCACATTAATTTACACAAAGACAGAAGGAGAGAAATCTTTCCACAATCTAAATTTCTATCACACATACTACACTGTGTTTGCTCATCATCTTGGTCATGGTTCAGATGGTATTTTAATTTTAAGTACAGCAGGCCTGGACACCATACTGGTCACTGCTGTCAGTGCATGAGGTGTTGATTGTGTGGGTTGTGGTTGAGGCTCTGGATGAGGCAGTTGATGATTGACAAGAAGGAAATAGGTGGATTTTCACACTTCCTTAGGTCTCTTCTCACCTTTCCTTCAACATGGTATCGTGCCTGACTTTTATTCCCTGACATTTTCAGCTTTCCTCTCCTCTCAAACTGGGTGCAGTCCAAACAGAGGCTGAGAGGATAATTATCTCCATAAACAGTGGAATACAGTGGCAGTCCGAACTCGGAGAAGGTGATGCACCGCACCGGGAGCAACAGCAGACTGTTTGTTTCCTTTTGGGTGTAGCTATTCAATGGACCTACACTTTTCACAAGGTCTTTCCTCTCAGCCAAGGAAAATGTCTGGCTCTTAACAGACACCAGACATCTGCTTGTAAATGTTAACAACTGTAGTTGCCAGGTTGAATAAACTAAAGGCTCTTAACTTAATGCCAAGTTTATTAATCTACTTTTTTTCTCTATAACAATCTATTTCTATGTAACTCTAAGCATCAAGTGTACTATCCCCATTTTCTACAGCTACACAAATATCAACCAGAACCTACTCAACACTGACCTGCAAAAGTAGATTAGCTATTATCTTCGAGATGAAAAACTCACTTTTTGCCATACAGTACTGGAAGTCATTGTAAAATATAAACAGACGCCTGGACTGAGCCTACGCTACTGGAGAAACCGCAAGGAGTCAAGTGAGAGGAGAACTATTATGAGAAAGACAGCTAAGGACACAAGAGCAAGGAGTGCAAGAACAGGAAAAAGGAGACAACCTGAAAAATAAATTTCAAGAACCCACAAATGGCTTTACTTTACAGGTTTGCAGTTTTAGCACAATTTATTCCTGGAAATCAAAATAAATTAAGTAATTCTTGTGGCAGCAATTTCTGCATCATGTATTCTGTCTAAAAGATAGATAAATAGATTTACATGCAGGCCCATCATTCACACAAATTCTCATTGAAATTGAAAGTTTTATATGTGCAATATTTACATAACCCTCATAATCACACAGCAATATCCAAGATTGATCTTGTTTTCAACATGAACTTCTAGAGCCCACTGTTGAGTCAAAGAATACAACACATTAGTCCCCGTCATTCAGTTACATTTCCTTCAGTTGTGCAAAACGAACCAACTTGTGATCTCACATGGGAAATTTCCAAGAAGTGTTTAACCATCTGCATAAACCACAAGTGCTATCACAGAAGAAATTAAGGCCCATTTCTGTGGTTGTAGCAAAGATTGAGATCTCATGGCCTAATTTTCTCAGTGATGTACAGCAGAATCCTTTCCAAACACCAATCTAGAAATCATGGCCACCTTTTTGCCCAAAATGACCTCACACATTTGACTTTGTATTAAATAATAATATCTTATTGGAAACAATGTCAATATTTATTACTTTTTACCATGTTTGTGCTCAGAACTACTTCAAATTCTGCATAACAAATCACAGAAATATAATCTATAAGTATAATCTTTTGAGATAACTGTTTGGATTATTTAAAGATTGCTTTTTTAAAGCTTTTTTAAATAAACACAAAACAACAAATGACTGCACAAATAATCTCAATCTTAAATCATGATTTTAAAAAGACATATTTTGCATTTATCTGCTATATATAGTTACCCATGGGTCATTATGCTGTATTTTGGACTTTTAAAATCACAATATTGAGCAAAAACATCATAATAAATGAAACAAGTATACTGACAACCGGGTTGGCAAAACAGCAATGAGGTATTAGGAGTTGATTCCCACCTACCCCTTTACATCACCACAAATCATGCTAGCGCAATGCTGTTGAATCTTAGATGTATTACCAATTAAGAAAATCTAATTGGAGAACAAAGTAAGTAAAGAGCAGTGGGTGTGTATCAGTAGTAATGAAAACAAGAGTAGATCACAGCAATGACATACTGAATACAATTCAGGAGGGCAAATGAGAAAATAATTATAACATGATTAAAAGCTCTAAAAAGTCCTTTGCATAGTAGATCTCTTTTAAGAAAAAAGAAATGGTGGGAGGTGATTTTTAACCCAAGCACAAAACAAACAAAACAAAACAAAAAGTAGCACTACACAAAAGTCTTAAAGCTATATCATGATTTAAGAAAACCAGATAGTAGCAGGGGAAGACACGGGAAAGCCATCTTTTGTTCACACTGCCTCAGGCTCACATCACTGTCAGACTAGGCTTTGCAGGTTTACATTCGTCATCATTTTGTGCGTAACTTGAGAAACGAAGGATAAGAAATCCTTTCACATAGAATGCAAGGCAGTAACTGGTTGCACCTATGAAAACAAAGAAGGGACCATCAAGACGTCAGAGGAAGAGCTATAGGAAGAACCGGATTACACTGTGATGGTAATCGCTTTAAAAATAATCCCGGTCCTTTCAAAGGTCTGAAAACCATGCCCATCTGCAAGTTAACAAAATGGAGAAGATATACGTGTATCCCAGTGGGAGCAAGGTTTGGTTGCAGCACAGATGTTAAATTAGAATTAGGCTCAATGGCATAGCCTTCACCAGAAATAGCCTAGAATTTTATCAGTTTAATGATCATTTTGCACTCTAACCTAATAGGTTGATAGAAAATAAATGCTTTGACATTATTTGACCCCTGACTCCTTATCAAGTGTACACGCCACTAGTGCAATAGGGCGATGTGACTTGTTAGGAAGCACAGGTGTTCATTTTCTGCCAACACACAATTACTGCTTAACTATTTCCCCCAAAAGGAACAGTAAATCCCTGAAGAGAGTGGGACACATGAGGCGATCATGGAGACTGATACTGAAAGCCACCAGATGTTTACTTTGGAGTGTGTACACTGATTTTAATGTAACATAGCCCTTTTCAAATAGTCCATCCTTCCTATTATGCAATATTGCAGCAAATTTATTTCCCAGGACACCTGTCTTATTCTTCAGAGGCAGTGTACTGTCTTTAATCTCACAAGGGAAACTGTGTGTATTTATCAACCAGACTGTTACAAAGGGAGTCCCTGTTTTCTTTTCAACACAGTCATATTTTAATATATTTCCTTCTCTGGTCATTTAAGATCTAAGTAATTCATCTGACAGCTGGACAGATGTCTTCTGATCCCACAGTCCCCAAAGGTACAACAAACAAAAACAGAGAACAGTCCATTGTACTTTCATATCATATCTGTTTATTGTCAACATCCAGATGTAATAAGAGCCACAAAGATGATTTGTACTCAGGGCCCAGAATTTTGCGCTGCACTCTGCACCACATATAAATCTACTACAAATAGGTAACTGAGG